ATACTTACTGCAATTTAAATTTATGCTTATCGCAAAAACTTTCAAAATGAGACAATTTTTATTGCTTTTATAAGACATCTAAAATACAGAAGCATTTGTTTTTTATATTAAATTCTTAAATTAGGTCTAAAGTTATTCTAAAAATATAAGAGAGGCATTCTTAATAAGACTGCTATTTCTGTAGAGACATGAAGATAGACTGAACTGTGGCAAACAAAAAAAAAAAGAAAAGAAAAGAAAAGGACATACTTCCTGGTTTATTTACCTTAGTCCTGCTATGAAGACTCTGAGTCCATTTTTTTCTTTTGTTTCTTGGAAGACACTTACTCATACATGTAAAATGGATGTATTGAGCTACTTAAAAATTGAATAGCAAAATGCCTGTAAAGTACTATAGGATGTTTAAGTGAAGATTGCTGTACAATTACCACGTAATTATTTAACAAGCATACAAAAAAAGTCATTTCAAGTGAGAAAAAGTCAATGCCATGAGGTCTCTTGCAAACAGATTCCTCAGGCAACCTAAACACCATTGCTAAACATCACGTACATACTATAATATGATAGTTGTAGGCTACCAGGAGGTAACAATGACTGAATGCAAAAAGCTTGCAGATGCATCCTGTTCTTCCACTAAGGAAAAAGAACAGTCTGCAGCAAAGACTTGCAAACTATCTATCTGAATTCAGGTCCTTCCCTACTTGCTATTCTGGGCTTGCAGTGTTTCTACACCATATGAATAATTATTTTTTTTAAGCATTAAAATATGCCATTAACACTTACCTATACTGTTTAGTTCCACAGTGTGATAGAAAGTCTATGAATTCATTGTCTCAAATGTGGAAAGAATAACCTTTAAAGCATGATCTGGGGTAATTTTCTATTTTTTTGAATGATAGGGAGTAAACAGTTTTAGGTATATGACATTAAACTGCAGCCATGCCTATGCGTTACTGAACAGTTCACCTGCACCATCTAAGGACTTTGCCATGAAAAGACATTTTTGGTAGTATGCTTTGGCCTAACAAGTTTTCTCATCTAACTCTTCCCTCCGCCAAAATTGTTACAAAAGTCATCAATAATTGGCAGAAAAATAAGTCACTTATTATCTGACAAACTATACTGGTGTTTAATCATCTTCTTGAAAGGGGCTAAAAGGGAGGGGGTAGGCATTTTGTTTAAAACTGAGAATACTTGATAGATTCTTACAGATGAAAGGGAAAGTTCAACTAAATCAATGTGTATCAGACACTTTTTTCCCCTGAAAGAATACTTAATGTCTATATTATCTGTTAAACAGTTATCCTGTTTTGATTCAGTTAGGCAACTCTTTGCACATTCATACATTTACTGTTTTATTACTTTACAACCTACTAAATATGCTGATAAAAGCCATCTGGATTATGTGACTGTAAATTACTACAGTAAAATTAAGGCAAACCCATTTCTGTTTCTCTCAGGTGCTGCTTTAACCATGACTGCTGCTATGGTAAGGCAGAACGAGCAGGTTGTCACCCTAAGATAGAAAGTTACCACTGGGAATGTGAAGACAATGTTGCCATGTGTGGTGAGTGGATGGTTAATGTTTTTGGGTTTAGTTTTTCTTGTACTGATTGCCTCATGGACTTCATAAAGAGATGCTTCCTTAACTGCAAAATCCTTATTTTACCTTCCCTCCTTTTGCAACCTCTTTGCAGGGTATGCTATTTTTCTAGAAAGCATGACTATACCAACTGAATGCAATTTCTTTTTCTAAATCCCCACCTGCTGACATAACCAAGCAAAATTCTGATCTACAAGTTTCTATTATTTTTTCAGAAAATACTTCAAAAATAAACAAACCAACCTACCCATTCTCACTCAAGCTGTGTAACATGTACATATATTAAGGAACCCACGCTATGCCATGGTCTCCAACTGGAAAGCAGCTACAAACAGGGACAGAAAATTACAGCTGTTTAAAAAGGATCATTTTTATACTCAGCAGAAAATATTACATACCATTTCTAAGTTCACAATGTACACATTTTTGACATACTTACCACTGACTGACTGCACACCACACTGCTAGTGACTGCAATGCACAAGTGACTGCAATTAAAACTTAAAAGTTCAAACACTGAGGTAATAAGTTATTTGATGAGTATATTTGTTTATTGAAATAGCGTGTCCACAAGCCATAAAATGTAGTTTTGAAAATTCAACCTGATAAAGCTTGTTTGATTGCTCCAAAATATGAATGTAATACATGCCAAGCTACAGTATAAAAGGGAGGGACAAAGAGATGATAAAGAAATGAAACAAATATATGTAACAGGGAGAAGCAACATGTCTTTTCTATGATTTGTTTACAACACTCAGTGTTTTCACATATACTTAAAGAACTTTTTGAAGCTATAACACCTAAGAAGCCCCCAAGCTTTGCAAGCCCTTAAAACACTTAACACTTTTTAAAAAATATATTTTTTATGTCAAAGTTATTTTGCATGTATGCTACTACCCAGAATACAAATCAGGGTATCTTATTATTTGCATTGCAAAAGTGCAGGCCCTTTTATAAATTTGATTAAAAGTTAACTCTCAGACTGACATATTTTACAGGTAGCAGGGTAGGTCATTCAGAGAAAACAAAACAAAAGCCCTCGCTTCACAACTCAATTTAATATTTGCCTGACCTGAAAACAGATGAAGTTTTTTGATGTTATTTTCTTTCCTCCTTTTCATTCAACCCCTATTTTGCCCAAGCATCTAGCTCATATAGACTCTCTACTTAGTAATTTCCTCCTCCGCTCCGGAAGTGCTAAGCATCTTCTCTCTTAAACTATCTAACAGTCAAATTGCAGTCAGCCTATGTTTGGCTGTAAAGGTTCTGCTCCTATTCCAGACCAGAAGCTGACATTTTGAAATACTAGTCAAGGCAATAAGCATATCAGCAATAAATAAAGTTGGAACAAAATAATAAAATAACTTTCTCAAATGGTATGCTAGCAAAGTTTGGAGCAATAACCCTTCCCTTCCTCCCCCCCCCCAAAAAAAATAAAAAAATAGTTCTTCTCTAGTCTTCTCAGTTAACATTTTATTTATACTACTTATGCTATTGAGAAGCTTATAGGGTAGCTAGTTACAACATCAACGTATATACATTAAAAACAGTCACATTTCATAGCAGAATTTGAGTTTCTTCATCACAAAACTGAATGCTTGTTCTGCTCCTAGACAAATCTCAAGCAGAGATCGAGGTAAGCTTTCACGCTCTGACAAAACATAATCAATTTTTTTTCAGTTTACAGACTGCTGCAGGAAAAAAAAAATTGCGTTTCTGGGTTGGCACAATAAGACTAAAACATACTGCTGTGGAAGAAACCGTTCATGCCAACAAGAAACATTAATGCTAGAAGACAGCATTCATGGCAAAAAACCCTACTAAGTTTCTGTTAAGGACTACAATTACAAAACAACCATGGCTAGAGATGGATTTTATTGTACTTTAACATACTTTACCTAACTTCTTACAGAATACCTTAATTAAAAAAAAAAAGGGGGGGGAGCAGGGAGAATATAAGCTGAAGATGGAACACCTTTGCATTCTTTATTACACATAGATAATTTTTAATGCTACATCCTTTAATGGAGTAAAAGCACATGTGAAATGGAAATTTCTTCCCAAACTCAAATTTCACTAGAGCAAAAGGGCAGGAAAAGAGGGTTACATATCACTTTCCAGAGGAATTAGTTACCAGAATTCCTTTTCTAAAGAAGGTAGAGAACTTTTGCTAAAGCAAAGCATGCTTATGTATCCTCTGTTGCTGAGCTGTCCTTGCATGGAGCTCAGTCTAAATGCAACAGATTTCACAATACGCAAAAGAACTGTCTTACTAAAGTTCAGTACAGTTCCTGTTGCATTTGAACTACAAGAGTAAAATAAAGTATGATTGCTGTTTTGTAAAGGATTGCATTATTTATCTGCCAAACATAGAATAGGAAGTAATGATTGCAGTAGTTCCATTTGTTATTTCTAATTACTTCAAACTAATATCAAACTTATTTGTTTTCTTTCAGAATCAATAGAAGAAAAGTGTCAAAAAATGGCATGTGAATGTGATAGCCAAGCTGCCAAATGTTTTTCTAAAGCTCCTTATCATACAAAGTACCTTTTGTGGCCAGATGTTATGTGTGGTGAGATTCAGCCTGTGTGTAGATATTAGGTACAAAACATCAGCCTTTATGAAAACTCCATATGCGTTTAAAACTAAAAAGACTATTTTTATCACAGTATTGACAATAAATGATTTTTCGCTTTCTTGATTCTCCTTCCTGCCACTCTAGCTTCTCTATCCCAGAACGACTGAAGTAAACGTTTACATTCTCATTTATCTTTTACAATACATGGACTAAAAAAGCATGTTCAGTAGTTTGGTGTAAACTTTTATTTACTATCTCAATTCCTATTTAAGTGTTTATCAGTTTAATGAGTAACTGACTTAAAATTTGTTTGAATCACAGAATAGTTTGGGTTGGAAAGGACCTTTAAGGACCTTTGGGTTGGAAAGGAGCCTGGCCTTGGGCACTGCCAGGGATGGGGCACCCACAGCTCCTCTGGGCAGCCTGGGCCAGGGCCTCACCACCCTTACAGCAAAGAATTCCTTCCTAATATCTAATATTGTTGGGTTTATATTTAGATTCATAATATCATTCACTGCAAGTTTTCTATCCTCGCTTCCCTGGAATGTAAGATACAATTCACACTTTTCCACTAACATTTATCTTAACATTTGTTACATTTGAACTAACAGGAAGAAATGCATAAAGTGACAGCATCAGCGTAAAAAGCCCTCTTGTCCATATTAAATGTTTGTTAAGAAATCTAATTCAACTTTTGAATCTCACTCTACTTAAGAGGTCCTACCTGTATTAAAAATTGCTCAACATAGTTTTTTCTTTTGAAGCATTTACCGTCACAGAAAATGTAAAGCACTTTGATATAAAATAAATACAACTTCTTTAGAAAGGATTAGGATTAAAAAAGGTATCTTTAATCTTTAAAAATATTCATAGGCGGATTTAAAGTTTAACATTAATGATACAAATGAAAAAATCAACAACATAATGCAAGGCAACACAGCTCTTGAATATTTAAGAGCTTCTCCTTCAGTCAAAAAAACAATACATTAAAAAATGGCAATCCAGTTTATACAAAATAACTTTCCAGTCAACATTCACTCACAGATCTAGATACACACCTTATATTGCAGTAAGACATAATTACAGTGTCAGGTCACTTATCCAAAATAATCCCTTTAAGAGATAACCCTGAATTTAAGGATTAGCAACAGATTTTAAGAGGAGAGCATTAAAGAAACTATCGATGAAATCTAACTGATCTGAACAAAACAAAGCAAATTGAATTGCAAATCACCAATATCTTCCAAAGTGCAAGAAAACGCAGTCTTTGCCTTCAAGAGGGGGAATTCTAGAACAAACTTCACTGTGCATTTGACAGTCACAACTTCACATGTAAAGCAGGCTGAAAACACTGAAGTATTTTCAATATCAAGCCTGTCTAGGAGGAGCTCTCCTTTGGCAAGTTTAAGTTCTGAGCAACACATTTCCCTGGTATGAAATACTAAGTTAAACGCTACTGTAGCTGTTCAGAAGACACCAATTTTAAGACAGAATAGAGACGTTTGATTTGATCAAAAATATGATGACATGACTAAGTTTTAAATGGCAAAATCAGGAATACAGATATACTTTTTTTTACTATAAAAATAATTTTGGATAATAAAGCCCATCCTCAGAGTTGGAATCAACTGTTTAAGAGTAACTTACCTTAAGGCTTTTTTGTATCTTTAATGTAATCCAACATTTTCACTGCCATATACATAAAGGAGAAAAAGCAAAGTTTCTTTCAAATAACCACTTTTAGAAACTAAATAGCTCAACATTTCTAATGCCAATCACTGCACTTGTGTCTCCAAGCGCCTTACTTCTTTAACCACAAGATCAATGTTTATAATTGGATTAAAGTACAAGGCCCAGTAAAACAAACAATTGCAGACAAACTGAGGTATAAAAGGCCAAAAAATAGCAACAAAAAGACCCTGGGTTGAGACTTTCCAGAAATGTCTCCACATTCTGTGAGGAATAGTCCTGTGGAAAAGGAAAGGGAGAGGCCTAATGGAACTTTGTTTTTAACCATTCTAAGCTAAGTAATACATGCTGCAGCCTCAAATTATTCAACGCTTACTCAGTTACCTGCAAAGCATCATTCTGCACTCCGTAGAAACTTTCTTAAATATAGTAATACTACATTTTATGTGAGGATGTGTTAAGTCAATTTATTCAGACTACAAACTACAGCAGTTAAAGTGGTAAAATTCTGGATTTGTCACAGATTATGTTCAAATACTCTGTTCTCGTTTGAAGATGTTTTGCCCCCTAGCTGCTGACAAAGAAAGTGAATATCCCATATACATGTATGTCAAACCAAGACTTTCTCCTATGCGATTTCTAAAAACTATTCTAAACTTCTAAAAACTACTTCAGGTGTAACTTTCCTGTTACTTCTAGCAATTTTGATCACCATCAGAGGTGATATCAGTCTAACTAAACTAAGTTGAGGATACATCCTTTAGTAACTATACCATAAGTATATCTTGACAGAATTCTTGCATGTGTAGTTCTCAGCTGACAGCTAATACCATTTACCATAAAAGGCAGGTACACATTAACTCTTATCCTGAGAACTAATGGTTAGGAACATGCATATTACCATTACTGCATTTGCTACATCTGATCAGTAAAACCAGCTGTAAGAAATCCTTTCAAGTATTCACAGCAAGAAATATATTCAAGACTGGAAATTAGTGCATGTGCAGATTTAAATTCACATATTCTTATTAGTTTCAGAGTTGTGGTTAGACACTACATGTAATTTCAGTAAGCAAGTGTGAAATCGTAAGAGACTTATTTTCCAGTTTATAAGGTCACATACTTCCTAAACCCTTCAACAAGCTCACTAAGACTTACTTCAATTCTCTTCTTGACCAGAGCCTCCAAAAGGTGAGTAGCTCGAGAACAGAGTGCAGCATTGCATTTACAATTATAAATCTTGATGTCCAATAGTGCACATCCAGCCAATCCCAAGCAAACTCAGCTATCAGCTGGTATGGCACAAATAAATACTTCACAATGAATTCTCTCCACTGTTTCCAAGAAGGATGTTTGAGGTCCTGTAAATTAGGAAAAAACAAAACAAAACAAAAAACCTGTTAAACGTTTTCCTACTAAATAGACACAATACTGGCTGGCTTATTTCCACTACTCCTCTGGTTTTTTGTGTGTTTTTTTTTTTCGTTTTTTTTTTTTAAATGAAAGCAGTAATTAATCTTTTTTTATGCTTTCTAGTAGATAGCACTGTAATACAGTAATTTCCATTGGAGTAGCACAAAACATCACAAATGTCCAGACTTTATAATGCCATTTTTTAAATGCGGATATTTTCAGATAAAGGTTTTTCTACAGTCATGTGACCTTAAAAAAAAAAAAAAAAAAAAGAATCATAAGAATCGTTTTCACGTGTTTAAAATCCTTAAATATCTTGCTAAAGATTGTAATCACAACACTGTTAATCTCATTCAATAAAATAAGAGGAACCATTTACTTTACAATATTTCTTTTTAAAAAGTTGAATGGTGATGAGATGAAATGATGAATAATCACATCACGATTTTAAGCAACTAAATTGCTTCAAATTGCTTCAACCATGCAGCACTTGAACACTTACTAATAATTTTGTGACAATATCTTCATACTGGTTTTCTTGCATAGGACAAATTGTGTGGATGAAAGGTAGGAAAGCTTCTGCATAATCAAACAGATACAAGTATAACATACTGAGTCTCGGAGAACTCTTCAGTGCATACAGAATAAAGAGTGATTTTCCTGGATTTACTGCCTGAAAGGTATCAAATTTAAAACAATGAAAAAATTAAGGGACACATCAGTTTTTAGACTTTTTAAAAAGATCATTTTTCAAATACAACAGTTCAACAGTTCATTAACTGGGCATTATGTATATATATATTATATATACACACACTTTTTTTCCCCCCAGAGTTAATTCTACTTCCTTAACATTGCTTTTGACTTTAAGAGAATTTTATTTGAAATACATTTTAAAATTACTTTATATAGATTACAGACTTTATACAGAATTTACCTTATATTCCCAAAGGTTCTGTGGTGGTTTAACACCTAAAGTTTTGACACATTCCAATTCTGCCATAATAGCTTTTCTATGATTATTGTTCACTATACTGTAAGGCTCTTTTGTGAAATCCTCCTCTGTCAATGTGAGAAGGAGCCTACAAAAGCAGAAGAATTCAGAAGGTAAACAGTGACTCTTCGCCCAAAAGATATGACTAACAAATCAGTAATTACATAATGAAACAATAAGCTACTGATAGAAGTTATCACCTTTTGGATTACATTCCACATGGAGTGTTCTGAATCAACTGCATTTCAGAGCCTAGGTTTTAAATATCCTTCTTTTCAAGTTTTCTCTTCACAGAATCACAGAATTTCTAGGTTGGAAGAGACCTCAAGATCGAGTCCAACCTCTGACCTAACGCTAACAGTCCCCACTAAACCATATCCCTAAGCTCTACATCTAAACGTCTTTTAAAGACTTCCAGGGATGGTGACTCCACCACTGTTGTCGACAGAAGGAAGACCCAGACGCTCAATATGAGTGAACAGTGAACTTCAACTTTAATGGATAGCTCTGTCGCCTTTTATCTAGTTTGAACATAATCAACTCATACATATTGCAGAAACTAAGCTCAGGATTGGTTAACACTTCCCGGGCTTTTCAGTCTGGTCCTCCTTCTTTTGGCTACCTGTCCCGCCTTAGGGACTTTCCCGATCGCCCAAGGGCATCGTGTCCTTGAGCCTGATTGGCTCTCAGCCAGCTGCATATGTGCCAAGGCTCATGTGAGTTGAGTACGGTGCTTCACCAGCCCATTGTCTCCCAACTGCTCAACATCCACATGTCCTACCTCACTTAACAATTCCTCCACACACCACTTCCCTGGGCAGCCTGTTCCAGTGTCTAACAACCCTTTCAGTAAAGAAGTTCTTCCTAACATCTAACCTAAAACTCCCCTGGCGCAACTTAAGCCCATTCCCCCTCATTCTGTCACCAGTCACATGGGAGAACAGGCCAACCCCCACCTCACTACAGCCTCCTTTAAGGTATCTGTAGAGAGCAATAAGGTCGCCCCTGAGCCTCCTCTTCTCCAGGCTGAACAAGCCCAGCTCCTTCAGCCACTCCTCGTAGGACTTGTTCTCCAGATCCCTCACCAGCTTTGTCGCCCTTCTCTGGACCCGCTCAAGCACCTCCATGTCCTTCTTGTAGCGAGGGGCCCAAAACTGAACACAGTACTCGAGGTGCGGCCTCACCAGAGCCGAGTACAGGGGGACGATCACCTCCCTAGCCCTGCTGGTCACACTGGTTCTGATACAAGCCAGGATGGTGTTGGCCTTCTTGGCCACCTGAGCACACTGCTGGCTCATATTCAGCCGACTGTCCACCATCACTCCCAGGTCCTTCTCTGCCTGGCAGCTCTCCAACCACTCATCTCCCAGCCTGTAGCTCTGCTTGGGGTTGTTGTGCCCCAGGTGCAGGACCAGGCACTTGGCCTTGTTGAACTTCATGCAGTTGGCCTCAGCCCATCAGTCCAGCCTATCCAGATCCTCCTGCAGAGCTTTCCTACCCTCGAGCAGATCGACACATGCGCATAGCTTGGTATCATCTGCAAACTTACTGAGGGTGCACTCAATGCCCTCGTCCAGATCATTGATGAAGATATTAAAGAGGACCAGCCCCAGCACCGAGTCCTGGGGGACGCCACTAGTGACTGGCCTCCAACTGGACTTGACTCCATTTACCACGACTCTTTGGGCCCGGCTATCCAGCCAGTTTCTAACCCAACGAAGCATGCGCCAGTCCAAGTCAAGAGCAGCCAGTTTCTTGAGGAGAATGCTGTGGGAGACGGTGTCAAATGCCTTACTGAAGTCAAGGTAGACCACATCCACAGCCTTTCCCTCATCCACTCAGCACGTCACTTTGTCATAGAAGGAGATCAGGTTCGTCAAGCAGGATCTGCCTTCCATAAACCCATGCTGACTGGGCCTGATCGCCTGCTTGCCCTGCAAGTGCTGCATGATGACCCTCAAGAGGATCTGCTCCATGAGCTTCCCTGGCACTGAGGTCAAACTGACAGGCCTGTAGTTTCCTGGGTCTGCCCTCCGGCCCTTCTTGTAGATGGGCGTCACATTTGCTAGCCGCCAGTCAACTGGGACCTCCCCCGATAGCCAGGACTTCTGATAAATGATGGATAGGGGCTTGGCCAGCTCCTCTGCCAGTTCTCTCAGTACCCTTGGGTGGATCCCATCCAGCCCCATCGATTTGTGGACATCCAAGTGCCGTAGCAGGTCACCAACCAGTTCTTCGTGGATAGTGAGGGCCACATCCTGCTCCCCATTCCCTTCCACCAGCTCAGGGTGCTGGGTATCCAGAGAACAACCAGTATTGCCGCTAAAGACTGAGGCAAAGAAGGCATTGAGCACCTCCGCCTTTTCCTCATCTCTTGCAACTAAGTTCCCCCCCGCATCCAGTAAAGGATGGAGATTCTCCTTAGTCCTCCTTTTTGTGTTGATGTATTTATAAAAACGTTTTTTGTTATCTTTAACAGCAGTAGCCAGATTGAGCTCCAGATGAGCTTTGGCCTTCCTAATTTTGTCCCTGCACAGCCTCGCTACATCCTTATAGTCCTCCCGAGTGGCCTGCCCACTTTTCCAAAGATTATAAACCCTCATTTTTCTCCTTATCTGAAGTCACAATTCTCTGTTGAGCCAGGCTGGTCTTCTTCCCCGCTGGCTCGTCTTTGGGCACATGGGAACAGACCGCTCCTGCGCCATTAAGACTTCCCTCTTGAAGAGCGCCCAGCCCTCCTGGAGCCCTTTGCCCTTCAGAACCGCCTCCCAAGGGACTCCACCAACTAGTGTCCTGAGCAGCCCAAAGTCAGCCAGCTTTCAGCATGCAAATTTAGCAGCTTGTTGGCTATCACTGAACACAATTCTTCAGTACATCACAGATCTAGTCTGGTCTCCTGATATCAAACCTAGAACTCTTGGGTTGAGTGCAACAATGCATATAGCACACATTTCCGCAAGAAAGAAAAGGTGGGGGGTAGATAATGCATTAGTAGAATTTCACTTTCAGTATCATTTCAGTCTACATTGTTAGTATTTAAACAAGTTCTTAGAAAATTTTCTGTTAGGTTGCTTAGTGTCTACTACTAAAGTTTTCAATATAAGTGTTAAAACTTACCCTGTATTTTCCTTTGCTACATCCATAGAATATTCCCACTATCTATGGAACAAAGCCTGGTCATTTCATAATATACCATGTCTAACGAAAACTATCTAGTAGTCCACTCAAATGGCAGCCACTCCTGACAATTAGACCCCTCACCTTCCATTTACTTTCTCCAGCAGAAATTTCTCTTTATAATGTGAAGCCCATGGGCCCAGTTGCTCTAGCCAAAGTATCACTTCTTCAACAGTCCATTTAGCAACTGGCTTGTGGACAAGAAGATCATCTTCAAATTCTCTGCTACTCCAGTGATACCCAAGTAGTACTACCTATAGGTAGATTTAAAAAAAAAAAAAAAAAGAGATCCTTTGCAAAGCTAATATATTATCACACAAATAGATGTGCATTGATGGACTTAACATGCAAAATCTTTCATGCTAAGAACCCTGGAGAATATTTAGGTTACAAGGAACTATCTTGAAGTTGTCTAACTTCCATTTGTTGTATATTACAATTATAGCTGCTGACAGACAACTCTGCTACCTTATTTACTCAGCTCAGCTAAAATATCTTCTATACAACCCTTCTTTATGTGCATGTAATTTAAGTATATTTATTTACATATTAAATGAAGTATATGGAAAACCATCCCAACGAAACTTACTGCTACACCAGTTAAAGCTGTCAGAACGCCTGAGAAAAACCCTCCTCCTCGAGGATTAATTCTTCCCGTGTTTGGAGCTGTAGAAATCTGGTCATTCCCATATTTTTGGAAGGTTGTTAAGCTGCGTGCTACATCACTGTTTTGTTGAATATCTTCTTTTCTTTGTTCAATTGCATCAGAGAAGAGTCTTTCAATAACATCCCTAATGGGAAAAATACTTGTCATTGACCTATAAACATTGAGGCCTAGCATTCAGAAAAGGGATTAATTTTAAGATTTTTGTTTTCCAGCCTCTACTGAAGACTCATCTTTGAAAGCAAGAAAACATTAGTTAACAATACTTAGTAAAATTAAACTTAAACCAATTACTTTAAAACTTTATTTTCCTTAGCTTTTAAAGATGGAGGAAGTTAAAAATCTCACATTTAAAAACAACAATCCTTATCTCATATATAAAATCAGTACTGTGTACACTACTAGGATGCCTTGATCATTCCAAAATTCTAAGCAAGAAACCACATAAAAGTACACCATTAATTCTATAAACTATTTATTAAAATCCTATTAATGTAGGCCAATGTTGTCTTGAACACACTGCAAGAACTTGACGGTAATTTAAGACAACAGTTTGATATTTTGAGCTTTCTTCTGCCATAAGATCATACTTCTTCTTACAAATAATTCTTGCTACAGAAATAATCACAAACTTATCAAGGATCCTTCTAACTTCAAATAACTGGTTATTTCCTAATACTTTTAACAGATGCAAGAAAAACAAGCAAGCAAACAACACTTTACTTTCATGCAGAAAAACATGCTTGAACAGTTCAAAAAAAAAAAAGCAACAAGGTATAAGACTTCTGGCTCTAAATATCCTCGTGACAGTTCAAATTACCAATAAAATACAAGAATTTATAGCAGATTCAAGAAACCACACAGTTAATTTTGGTTGTTTAAGAAATACATTTTTAAAGAAAAGCACATTACAATTACCTGAGAAGAATGTTGACTTTGGGGAATCCTTCCCATTTTTCTCTGCATTCTGGACATTCATTCTTCTTGGAGGATACCCACCACAAGGCTAGGCAATGTCTACAGAAACTATGTCCACAATTCAGGGTGGTGGGATTAACCAGAATGTCATAACAGCAATGGCAATGGAACTCACTAACTGATATTTTCCGACTGATTTCAGGGGTAGCACGTGCTTTAACTTCTGCCCTCTCTGGTTCACCCTGTGAAGTCTCATCTTCTTCCATTTCCTTTTATACTTTATGCAAACCAAAAGCTCTCTCAGATCTTCAAATCTGGTACAGCATTACTTCTGCAAAGCAACAAGATAAATCCCAATAAGAAAAGTTACTAAAGATGTTTAGAATTGCAAGAAGTTTATTTTATCATCATAACATCTGTCACTCGGATAGTTTTAAACTTTTTAACTAACTTAACTCTCTCCAAAATGAAACGTTATCTACTTTTTCAAAAAATATGTATTTGTTACAAACTACAATCAAAATCAGACTCTAGATGTAAAGTGTTGAGCTCAGTCTCCCTGTATGTTTTTTTCCAGCGTTAGGTAGCACATGAAAGTGAAACCAAAAACCTCACCAACTCTCCAATTGAGACACCCATCTTATTTTGGCCAACAATCAAAAGAAACATCATTAGAAAATACCAGAAGAGAATAAATAAAACAAACACCAGAATATGTGCAACATTTTGATCTAATTTACTCTGGCCCTATTCTTTACAAGTATATGGAATAAAATTTAACAAAGACAAATGCTAGGCAATGTAAACCCCCCCCAGTTCATTTAGTCACATGCCTCAAAATTATAAGGGATTGTTCTGTTTGCCATCTCAGTGAAGGACTGAGCTCTACATTAACTTCTTTACTAGTAATTACCCATTGCTGGTATTTCTGAAAATGAACAGCTGAGAAAAGCATAGGATTTCCACATCTTTTCCAGTGTAAGTTTCCCCCTCAGCTTGCCAAAAATATCATCCCATTTGTTTTATGTTCCTACTACACTCTGGCAACTGGTCGTATCTAGTTCCTAGTTTTCACATTGATCCAGATGACTTCTCATTACAAGTGAGAAAGGACCAAGGGCTGAAAGATTTTCCCCTCGTACATTAACAAACTTAAATACGCTTACGCTCTACCCCATCTGACTGCTGCTCACTACCGGGTTACTATCTTTCCATCCAGACCAGACCAAACACAAAGAAGTAAACATGCAAGTCTGTAAGAAAAAAGAATAACGAAGCCGACAAACAGTACAGCGCAACATACCGATAGTGCAGCCAGGCTCCCCAGAGCGCTCACCACCACTTCTCTTCCCAGCCAAGCACAGGCTGTCAGTTCCCTACGTAAAGCAAGCGACAGATCACTTCCAAGAGGAAGAAACCAAACCACTCTTTTGCGTCTGAAAACGTCCTCCTAATTTTCTAAAGGAGAGGCAGCGGGGTTTTCCGCAGACCTACCTCACCTCAACACCAACCAGGAGCCTCAAAGCTCCCCCGGTGGCTTTCCCGCTGCCCGCCCGCTCCTTCCCGCCACCTCAGCAGAGGCCCGGGCCCAAGGCGTCCTTCCGTTCCTCCCCCCCCGCAGCGGCGCCAGGCGGGGCCGGGCACACCTCAAGCCCGCCTTCCCCTCACCGCCGCTAACCCCAGCCCCTTCAGAGCTCCCGGCCCCCTCAAAGCCCGGCGGCCCTGCTCCCCACCACTCCCCCTCAGGCCCAGGCCCAGCCCGGCTCGGACCGTTTTAAGCCCCGCGCTGCGCCATGCTGTGGCACCGCTACGCGTCACGGTGCTCTTAATGCACTCCCACACTCGTGAGTTGGGCTGCGTCTGCACGCTCATCTTCCTTCACGGAAACGTGGTCTAATAAACGAGGTTTATTTTACAAGCTGAGATATAGAGGGTTAGTTGCAGAGGTCAATTAGGCTTCTAGAGGCTTGTTCAACAGCAGCGCTAATACATACTGCAGTGAGCTGGCTCACACAGGCTATTTTTACCACATTTGGGAGTATTTCTCTATATAATACACGTTCACAAATATTTATATGTCTCTGTTCCCTTACTGTATTTCTTTTTGACTAGAGTCCAAAACAAACTGATTTTTTAAGTACTATTGAGATGTATTTTTCAGTGTGTGATAAGAAGTAACATTTTCATAAAGATTTTGTCCATGTTCAGCCTGGCACAAGCTACAAATCCAGTTCAAATGACATCTGAGTTACCCAAATCAGATATCGAACATTACCATTAGTTCAGTCTATTTCAATAATGAAAGTAATAGTCTCTCATTGCTTCCTCTCCCATATTATCCAGGTGTCTCCAGAAGCCAATTGTTCCTGTGCTGACACATGCACGGTCCTATTTTTGTTTGCTCTAGAACTATTCTAATCTGATTTTCCGGGACAGAAAAACACATAGCTGAGAAGTTTATCAACTCTTTGAGCAACAATCCAATACTTGCATACCACACTTGCATATTTATTTGGTTTACTTACCAATTATTGCTTCTTCACATACAAGTGGAGTTCCATTAGCAATACTGCAGCTATTATTGCTTGGATCTGTTTGTGATTAAAAAAGGAGCATCCAATTCTGACCTTCTTTAAAGTGATATATTAAAGGTACTAAACAAATTTCCATTGACATGGAATAAACAGACATATTTGTTCAATCATACACAGCACTGTTAGATTTTTTAAACACAGTTTTAGTTGTAATGGTTCAGGGATCATAGGAATGATTTTGGACTCCAAAACAGATTTCAGCTTTAGTCAAATAACAATGAAGAATTCCACTATCAGCACAGAGTAAATGGTAAGTCTGTACCAGCTAACTTCCAATGCTTCATAGCCAAAAAAGCAATCACAGAATCACAGACTTTCTAGGTTGGAAGAGACCTCAAGATCATCGAGTCCAACCTCTGACCTAACGCTAACAGTCCCCACTAAACCATATCCCTAAGCTCTACATCTAAACGTCTTTTAAAGACTTCCAGGGATGGTGACTCCACCACTTCCCTAGGCAGCCCGTTCCAATGTCTAACAAACCTTTCAGTGAAGAAGTTCTTCCTAAGATCCAACCTAAAACTCCCCTGGCGCAACTTAAGCCCATTCCCCCTCATTCTGTAACATTGTAATTAGCTGTTTGCCCTGCTCTCTCTCAAGACTACCCAGTCATTTGGAAAGCAGCCAAGCTTTTCCTGTGTCATTAAAAAATGGGAGTTTTGAGGAACTAAGATTACAAGCTATGTTTTCATAAGTGCAGTTGCTAATGTATACATGGAAAAAAAAAATCAGGTAGGCACTTATTTCATTAGGTAAATATGTTATCTTCTGAAACTAAACAGAAGTCAAGATGTATGCCTCTGAAACATTAAGGACAATTACACAATAATTGATTAAAACTTGAATAAATATCATAAGAATTATAAATTCTTTTTAACACCTAATAGTATTTCCTTTTCATTGCAATAAACTTTTTATAGGAAAACAGTTAAGAGGAGAATGTTCCAAAAGTGGATCAAAGAACGAGCAGCCTAGGCTGTAAACATGGTCATACAGAATTTGATTTTTCTCCAGAGCAGACCTTCTCATAAAAACAAAGGAAGACAAATGACTCTCATCTATTTGAACTTTAGTTCTGTAGCTTGGGACAAACTTTTTGTTTAAAAAAAAATCCAAAAGTAAATCTGAGAGGATTAACTGGACATTGGACCAGAAATTAGAAAAGACATGTAGAATCAAACAGTAGTTCAAATTACTATAAATTAGATAGAAAGTACTTGTGATGAATAATTGCCAGACTCCACAAAACCCTAATTAAGCAGAGTATTCTGCTTTAATGTAAAAAAAAATAATAATAAAATATGCTTTTTACCATATATAAGTGGCACATTGCCAAGATGCTGCATTCTTAAAACCAGAGCATACAATACTATATCCAAGGTAAAATTGGATTAACTTGTAGTACGGATTATTACGCCACATATATCACTACATGAATATTTTTGTAGCTACTGTCATCTGCAGAGGAGTCAATCCTAAGTATAACTGTGCTGTTTTAGTCCTGCTATATGAGTTCATTTTTCTCCTCCAAGTTAAGAAGAAACTGTGCGTTTTTTTTTTTTTTTTTTTTTTTTTTAATAGCTAAAGCCCCAAAGGACAGTTAACAGTTTCACATTTTTCTTTTAAATACACAATAATAATACCTACGTTTGAAGCAGGAAATCTCTCTTGCTTGTAATACTAAGTAACCACACTTTATTACAGCATCTGACGTTTTTATTTGCAGTTTATTTAGCTTTGTTTTGTAACAAAGCTAAAAAAGCTCTCTGAGCTAAGAAGGGTCACAGCATTATACTTACTTTCAGGTTATCTCTAATATTATTTCAGACATAGTACTGCTCTATGCAGATCTTTTTGTTTCCAGAATAAGTACAAAGATTTACGCTACCTATTAGTAATGTAACATTCCACCACTTTTTGTAATTCTGTAATACAGTTTATCATAATTTTACAACTAAATGAAAACAGGTAGCAACTTGTGAAAACCACACTGCATTCTAGAAAACTGTTTAGAAAACAAGATCTATCCTACTAAATTTAAGTGACTTATGAACCTCGAAGAGAGGTTCAAACTTCAAGCAAAGTTACCTTGCAGTTTGCTTTTCCCTTGGAATAACATTTGCATTTTTTCTATATTATATCTAAAGTTCAACTTTGATTACAGGTACATTGGTTACTACTAATTCTCGATTTGTTGCGTATATCACGTAGCTGAGCCCAGGAGATGATGCAAACAAATTTCATTCTCTAAAACACATGGTTTATGTCACCAAGCAAATATTACTACAATTGTGGCCCATGCATTGGGAAAACTCAGTTGCTCTTGAAAATCAGTTGGTGTTCCCTCCCTGGACACCCGGCTCCATTCCACCACAGAGCTGCCCTTGAGCCTCTGCCTTCTCAGAAGCACAGCCCTTGTCTCAAAGCCTTGGCTTGCAGCTGTGCTGCCCTTGGCCCAATTCTGCAGCTGGGCCTAGCGCCTCTTCTCCTTGGGCCAAACACTGCTAGCCTGGGGCTATTTTCTCCCTTAGCACAGCCTCTGCAACCACTGACCACGGGGGCTGCAATGGCACTACACACATTCATGCTGAACACATTCAACACTGACCACAGGGGTTGTGAGCAGGTTGCTTGGCATCTCAAAATCTGATTTGCCCGCTACTCATTAGTTGAACACCGCTGCTACCTCTGAGTCTTTTGTTTAAGCTCTTTAACAAGAAGCAGCAGGAGCATTTCTTAAAAAAAATATGGGAGCAAGATTCAAGTGTCATGCTTCAGCCAATTTACTGCAAAATAGAAGAATCTCTACTACTATTTCAACTAATGTCTTGCTTTGCACCATTTAATCATATAGATGATTTGCTGTGGGCACATGTAGAATAAATTGCTAGCAGTGAAGAGGCAAACGCTCATCTTGAAGAATCTTTAAAAGTTCTCCTTTTTCACTGCCCAGTCCTGCATACTTCCACATCATCCACTCTATGCAGAAATTATCTCCCAATTCATTAGGAATTTCCCATTTGTTTTCATTCTGCTGGAATGCTGGAAAAGAGCTTTCATTTGCTGTGTGAACTTTGGGTTTCATACTATTCTCCCTCATGAGTTTAGTTTCCTGCTCTTGTACCAGGCCTTATTTCAGAATTTCCTTTCATAGTAGAGGTGTGGGGGTATTTTGCTGTGCATTGAGCTTTACAATGATCTGCAGTGATCTGCAGAAGTGTTGTTTTTATGCAGTGGGATGACAAATGTTTCATCCGAAGCACTTTCACACACACCTGCTCCATCACCAAGGTGAATCCATAACCAGCGTTAGCATTTCAACATCTTACCAACTTTGCATCACTTCCATCTATGTGGTGCTAGCTGCTTCACCTTTTTCAAAGGACCTATTTCTCCACACCCGTGACAGTTCGAAACACCTCTCCCCCACAAAAATAAAGTAACTAAAAATGCTCTTTAAAAAAAAAAAAAAATATATATATTTTATTTTAGGACTCAGTAGCGGCAACCGGGGCTATCTGCCCCCCCCCCCTTACACACCGAAGCAGGGCGCTGGAGTACACCCCACATGCGGCGCGGTGCCTACCCCCAGAAAATGGCGTCGCCCGCCCGCCTCCTGAGGGGTGGGCCAGGCAGGGCGGGCCGCTCTCCGGAAGCGCTCGGCGGCGGCGGCGGCGGCGGCGGCGGCGGTTGCGGCTGGTGCCGGGCCGGGCCTGGCCAGGCGGGCTAGTGCGGGCGAGGGATGGAGGTGATCAGAAGCAGTGAGTGAGCGGCAGTCCCTGCTTGTCTCGCACCTCGCGGTTGAGGGCTCCCCTGTTGTCCCGGCTTCCCAGTTCCCCTTCCTCTGGCCTCAGGCTCTCGGCAGGGGGCGGCCCCGCGCCGCCCCTCGCCCCGCAGGGACAGCCCTGAGGGGCGGCGGGCGTGCGTGGGCCGCGGGCGGCTCAGGCGTGATTTGACTTCTTCCCCGCAGATTTTAAGGATAACCTGAGCAAAGTCTGTGAAGCCATCGAAGAGGCGGACTTCCTGGCCATTGATGGGGAGTTTTCAGGTACAGTCGCGTGTTCTGGCAGTATCTGTGCGGTGTCAGGTGTGTGAGTTTGCTGTGTGGTATATCCAAGTGTTGGCTTGAAGTAGCTGAAGCAAAGGCTACCGGAAAGCGAAAAAAACATTTATTCTATGTATCATAGCATGGTTTTGGTCAAGAAAAGGAACGTGTCATGCCCACAGTTCTACTCTCTCCCCACAGTAATTTTTGACCACGTTAATTGATTCTCAGCTGCAGCTGTCAAATAAACCTCAGGGAAGAAGTAGAGATTTTTGTGCCTCATGAAAACAAGAGGTTGGGATAAATAAGGGAGATCCTGCAAGCCTTTGGACAGGGAAAGAGACCAGTAAAAGACCAGTTTTAGCTTTGGGATGTAGTCTTTAGGCAACCATGAAAAGAAAATATGATTTTAAAATGGTTTCAGTAGCTGTGGTGATTATGGAAATACAGTTAGTATTTTGTATTGCTTAAGGTGGCTAAGTCATTCAATGAATCTCTACTCTGCACTCTAAACGTTTTGTAGTTTGACTTTGATCCTCCATTGTGTTGTAACATCAATGTTATGTTACTGGTAGATGTTTTCATGTTAGTATCTCGTTGGATAGGAACCAGACTTCTGCAGCAAGGCTTTACTGCTAGAACAGTACTATTACATTGGGTGTCTTCTCTGTTGAAGATGTATGTTTTTACACAGTGGAAATTTGTTCTTAACTAAAATACTCTTAACATGTATTTTAAGCAAAAACATTTTTTTTTAACTTACCAGTTGTGACATTGCTTAGTTGTGGCTAATTTTGAAAAGCTTACCCAAAGCCAAGTACATTCTGCTTTTTCAGGGATCAGCGATGGGCCTTCTGTTAGTGCATTAACCAATGGCTTTGACACTCCAGAAGAAAGGTATCAGAAACTTAAAAAGGTAAAGTTTTTTTTACCATGACTAAAATGAAAATGCTGGAAAAAAGTTACTTAGTTCTGAATGGAGACAATGATAGAGGTCTGTACAATTAAGTTAAGTAGAGCAGATAAGGATTGCTTGTTTCATTGTCCTTGCTAACACAAGAATTAGGGAGTGTTGCATAAAACTGGTGGGAGTTGTGGTCAGAACAAAGGGGCATGATTCTTTGTATAAGAGATAGTGGATATGTAGTGCCTGCTATCAAAGGATGTTGAGGGTGTTAATCAGTTTGAAATGGGACTAGGTAAGAGAAATTCAGTGACAGAGAAACTACATTAGGACAAAGGTCCTTCCTGAACTACCTCCCCTGAAGCAGGAACTGTTGCTAAGCAAACTGAAATGCAAGTTGCCACCACGTCTGCCTCTCTGCATGAGCAGGATGAGAGGAGAGGGGAGAGAAGAGGTGCTAAAAGAAGTCAAAAGAGTCTTGAAAAACAGCCAAATGATCATGGGAGATAACATGTAGCATGTGAGCATCTAATGGTCAAAACTGTGATGTTATCGGTTGTTTTTCCTTTCCTCTTCCCCCTATAGGAGAGGGATCAGAAAAGAGGAGTGCGAAGTGTTTTAGCACATGCTGTTTCTTGAGCTGCAGGGAGTCAATAAACACTGCTTACTATTATTTTGTTAAGAGGCATTGCATCATGAGGGAACTGCTGGTTAGTATTCCTATTGGTCCTCTCTATTAGGGGTAGCCATTGAGAAACTAGAACAACAAATGGCAAAAACTAAGGAAGAGGCTGTAGCTTGAAAACAAACAAAAGAGACAAAAAGTGACCCAGAAGAAGACACTAATGGAGACTGGTTTCTGAAGAGCATCCAGTAAGCTAGTGGATGCCACCTGCTATTCCTCTGGCTCCATATGAGAAAGGCCAGGTGAACTTAATGTTAGTTTATTTATTTATTGTTTTTTATGCAATGGTACGTTCTTACGTATAATATTTTAGAGACAACTTGGAGACAGGAAAAGCTATGTTAAGACCACAGGAGATCTGCAGTCTACCAGCCTTCCCTCTGGCATGTGTTTGTAAAGGCAGACAAAGTCCAAAAGGTGAACATGCGTGGGCATCATTATGCAGGTACCTGGAGTTCTTTATGCATAATTTTGGATCAAATAATTCAAAGACTTCTGTGGCTCCTCCCAGTTTGGAGACCAGGCAGATAGTTAATGTAAATGGGGCTCCTAGTTTGCTTGTTGTAACAGAGCTTCTGGCTACTGTTTATGTACCTGCAAGAGTTGCCATGGGCTGGAAGCCCAAAATGTGCTAGAGCCACTCAAGACTTTCAGAGCTTCAGGGTAGCTGATGATTTAGGCTCTGCAGGCACAAACGGTCTGGTGTATCTGAGCCTAACCTGAAATTTTGTTATGACCTTCTTAAAATTTCTCTTTTGCCAGCCAGTGAATTAACATGATTATTGATATTTTTGATCTTTATGCTCAGAGATTAGAAGATTAGTGTTGTATATCCTGTGACTGCCCAATCCCCCCCATGACTGAATTGAAAGTTCTATGTGTTCATTGTGTTTAAAAGGGCTATTTGGCCCTTAGGAAGAATGAGACAGTGCAACCAGCATGCTTGTTTATTTTCCTATACACCTACAGCAGCGTTCAAAACATTTCCAATACTGATTCAACACTTGTGAAATAGAGGACAGGATGATAAGTATCTGTCTCATACTTCTATCAGTGTTAGCCACATGTATTAGAAGGATATTAAAAGTATTATCATACATATTTGAAAACAATATGCAGCCAGCATCCCTCGTAGCCTCTTGACACACTACTTGGAGTGTAAGTGAATGTAAGAAGGTGAACTGACAGCTGCTTTAGGTACACCATCTTATTCTTGTGTGTGAGCAACAGGTAGAGAAATACAGGATTTCCATTAGTTCTTGTGTGTTTAGGGAATAAAAATGCATTCTACAAGTCATCTTTAGGCAGTAGTGTGATGATCTCTAGGTAAATGGGATTGAAAACTAGTTAAGATCTGACGAATTTACTTCAAAATTACCAACAGAGCAAATGTTGGTTATGAAGATCCAGATCTGTTTAAATTTGAAATGAAGAGAAATACCTACTCTGGGTGCACCCCGGTTATTTTTAAATGTGTACAGCTTTTATTCTCATGCAAAGTTTTCCTTTCCTTTCCAGCATTCCATGGATTTTTTGCTCTTTCAGTTTGGCCTTTGCACTTTTAAATATGACCACACTGAAGACAAGTATGTAATTCTCTTATTCCTTGCTTTGCTCATTGAGAAATTTATAAATATAGATAAGATGTATTGACATGCAACTCATCTTTTTCACAGGTATATAATGAAGTCATTTAATTTCTATATTTTTCCAAAACCCTTTAACAGAAGTTCACCAGATGTCAAGTTTGTCTGTCAGGTTAGTAGAAAAATGATCTGAATTTTCTTGGGTAAGATATACCTGCAGGAGGCTTCTAAGTAGAGGTTTTCCTGAAAATACTAAATCATTGTAGAGGGAGAAGTGGTTGGTTCTTTTGACAGTTTTAAAGACAGATAAATTTCTGTGTTTGGTGTTGCATTCTTAAAGAAGAAATAAAAGCATCAGTTAAGAAAAATCCTCCCAAATGAGCTTCAAGGGAATACCTGTGGCTTCACTTAAGTCTCATTGCATGTCACATTGTATTCCCTGTTGTTTCTGGACTTGGAGACAGTGTTTCAAACCTGGCAAGATGATTCTATTTTTTTCCCTTTGTCTGACTTCCTGTTTCCTTGCTCTTTCCATTTTTATTCTTTATTCTCAATTGCTTATCTCGTTTTCATTGCTTTCCAAACTATTGCCAGCATTTTCCTGGTTTCAGATTTTTTCTACTGAACCATATTTTTCACTCTTTTTCTATGTAATTCGGTTTTTCATCTTTATCCCTTTAGTGTATTTATTCTTACTTTGTAAGTAAAAAATAAATCATAAACTAATGCAGAAATTACAGTTCGAGATCAGTATTTGAGGAAACGAAAGGAAAATCTAGAATATGGTCTCCTTAAATGTTGCATTTAGCTGAATTACTGAAACTTTCTACTCCAACTTGCTACAGCAACAGAGCTTTTTGTTTATTACATCTGTTTTTCCTTAGGAGATGGTGATGTATGTATTTTGTGAGGAAAATTGTAATAAAAGATAGATACCTAAAAAGTCTTTAGTGAGCTCTGTGCTTGGATTAAGTTTATCGGGTTGTTACCTTTTTGGCCTGAATGGCTAGACAAAGAAATATGGTCTCTTAGTTCATTTTGATTTGGAGAAATGAGGTTATCTTCTACTACAACTTTTCTGTTCAAACAAAAAAAGAGCTAAACAAAGCCTCCTTATTCAGTTAGCAATAACACTTCCATTTAATTCTCTATGTATTATTATGTATTATTATGCAGTGTTATTACTGTAAAAGCCAAACATACTGCTTATCCTAGATGGATTTTTTTTTTTCTGGGATTTGAGACTTACTGCTAGTAATTTCATTCCTTTTTGTTTGTTTTCATTGTATCTGTACTGTGTTTCTCTGTACTGTGTTTTCCTCAGTCATTTGGCTAAGTTTTGTGCTTGGACAGGTTAATTCCTGTGTGATCTTCTGTCTATCCCCTGGATGTTTGTTTTGATTTTTAGACTTTAATAAAAGAGCGTAAGTGCTTCTTAACCAGTTATTTAAAATGAAACTGTGGATAACTGCTCTAGATTTAATGACACTGAACAGTGCAAGAAGAAATTTTGGACTGTCTATGGTAGGACTCTAACGGATAGTATTTCAGGCAGTAGAGAAACCAGGCTTCTCATTGCTAAAACTTCAGTATGTATTCTTTGAGTCATTGCCTTGAAAAGTTATCCAGTTTTGAACTTGGTTGTCTTGATTCAGAAAACAAAGCCAATGAAAATTCACACAATAAGTAAAGTTGAAACTAGTGTTTTCACTGGCTTTTTTGTTGTTGATGTATCTTGTGCGCATATATAGCATTGAAACCCTAAATTGTTTAAGGTTGACCCATGTGTCAGAATAGCTTTGGGAGACACAGCTGATTTTGAGATACCCTATAGAAGCTGAAAGTACATAACAAAAGTAACGCAGTTTAAATTTGCTTTGGCTTCTTTAGGTTCACAAACTTAGTTGCTCATGATCCAGAACTTACTACAATTTCTTAAAAACTTAAGTAACTTAAAAATAGTTGATCTTTGTAAGCCATTGATACTCTTGCCAATTGTAAAGTTATTTTATTTTGTTACAGAGTTCAAGTATAGATTTTTTAGCAAACCAAGGATTTGATTTTAATAAAGTTTTTCGCAACGGTGAGTTTTTTTTCTTTCTATATCTGCAAAATTTATTCATTTCTTCATTTTATGCAAAAAGAAAAAAAGGCAGCTGTTCACAGTATTCTCTTATCACAAAGTGAGTTCTGTAACTGTAATTCTAAATTATTAAATTCTGGGTATAATTCCAAATTATTCATATCTGGTTCTAGAATTATGCTGATAGTTACTCCCTTTTCAAAAATTAATTATATTGAGTTCAACTGAATAGAATTCCTATTTAAATAAGTACTTAGTAGGTTATTTTTCTTTGCTGACTAAACATAAATAGATGAGTAATAAATTACATTACAGGGTAATGGAACAATTGTAAGGCCTTTAAGTAACATTTTTAGAAAAGGTATCAGTGCTTTGTAATAGGTGCTACTGCAGTTTATCATCAAAGCATTGCAAATATCAAGGAAGAGAAGTGCCAAATGTTCCTGTGATCATGATCTACAGCTCTGTGGGTTCTCAGGCTTATGCTTTGTGTGGATGAGGCATACAGATCTTAAGAATCCAACAGTACCAGCTAATCTCACATGTGGTTGAAAAAAGCTTTTATACCCATAAATAGAGAATGGGATCTAGAATGGGTGACTGAAAGAGCGGAATGTGTTTTGAGCTTTCAGGGGGGTGACATTGGCAGATTCTTGGTTAGTAATAACTGTTTCCTAAATCTACATCCTTAACCAAGTTGTAATTATTATGAGTTTTTAATCGTCTTTTTTTTTTTTTTTTTTTAGGAATTCCGTATTTAAATCAGGAAGAAGAAAGACAGCTAAGGGAACAGTATGATGAAAAACGTTCTCAGGCCAATGGTGCAGGATCTCTCTCCTATATTTCTCCCAATACCACAAAATGTCCTGTCACAATTCCTGAAGATCAGAAAAAATTCATTGAGAAAGTAGTGTAAGTAAAATTTTCTAATATAAAATGAAACTTTATTATGCATATGGTGATATTACAATAAATCATAACTCTTCAAATATTTAGTTTCCTACTGTTTATGATAAAATATTCTGTGAAAGGAGAGACAAATTAGAAAATACAGAGAAAAATCCATTATGAGTTTCTTTTGTTTAGCAAAAGAAACCCAAACCCTTTAGTTGGCCTTCAACATAAAGAGGTGTAGAATTTTGGTTGTGCGTGTTTTTTATCTGATGGCAATCTCCTCCTTTGTAAAATGGAACAGAGTTAGGGGAAGAAACACTTAGCTAATTATTCTACTAAATCAGTATCTACCTAGCAACACTTAATGGTCTTAGGTGAAAAACAAGACATCCCCCCACTAAAGTGACAGTTTAATGCTTTCTTCGATGTTGTTGAAACTAAAACATAAACATGTTGACATAACATAAACATAGTGACATGTTTGTAAATTGAACATTTTTTTATGTTTAAGTGTTTTCTTTTGGGGAGAGCTGTAAACATCTCAGCAAAAAGAAAACGATAGCTATAGGGGCAAATCATCTATTTAATCTTTTTTTTTTTTTTTTTTTTTTTTTTCTCCAGGGAACAGATAGAAGAATTGTTAAAGAATGAAGAAAATGAAAGTTTGGAACTGGAGCCATGTACAGGGTCAGTTTCTGAATTTGTCTTCTAAAAATGATTTTTTTGGCTATATTGAATTAGGGGAGTTACAGGGAAGAAGAAAGACAACCTGACCTGAGCTAACTGTAACAAAAACTATGCTTGACTTATCTCTGAATGTTAAGAAAGCCTGGTAATCTATATGATTGTCAAACTCTGCTTTATGAGCCGTAACTTCTGCCTGCAGTGTCAACATATGTAAGTATAGCTAAGAAGTGTCTCGCATACATAAGCCTACTCTTGTAGTTGCTGTAGTGCTCTATAAGCATTGGAGATGCATTTTATAAACAACTTCCTCAAATCTATTGAGCTATTAATTGTTTTGTTCATTGTTAACACCATGTTTTAAAATGGTTTCTAGTGGATCTCCTTCCCAAACTTACTTATTAGCCTATTTAGCTTTGGAATCCAGATGTACAATTATTATCTCAGGGAAAAAAAAAAAGTTATCCAAACTCAGAGATACTAGAGCATTGTGAAACTGGAGTACGGTTACATTGCTGCATCTATATTCAGTAATCATGAGTGCAGAATGTTTGCTTGTGAGAAGATACATGAATAGCTGTACAAAATGTTCCAAATGCCTTCACAACTTGGCAACTGGCCTACAGGTCTTGGTATGAGTGAATTACACTCTTAACTTAAAAATATTTCTACCGAGGAACTAAAGCAGGCTTTATTTGAACATTATTACTTTGAAATACAAATGTAAAATAAGACTTAGTAACATAATTATCTTTTGGTTTTAGATTTCAGAGGAAATTAATTTATCAGACCTTGAGCTGGAAGTAAGTTACTGATAATTCTGTCTTACTCTGTAATTTCAGTATTTACGATTAAAAAAAAAAGGGGGGGGGTGGAGGAGGGTGAAAGCTGATCTATTTAATCTCAGAGGTGATTAATTTAGTTCTTTTTTTCCTTTAAGATAAGATTTTTGTAGTATTCTAAAGATAAATTGCATTAAACTGGTTTGTGATGATTCATTTGAATATTTTAAAGCTTAATATTTTGTCAGTCTTGTCTAAAACCTGTGAATAGAACAGCAAAGTGCAGAAGCCTAGAGTTATGTAATAAAAGCAATTTGACAGGTTTTTAGTGAAAATGAAAGTGCATGTGCTTAGATATGTTGTGGGCTTTACTTGGAAAAACTTCTATATTGCTCATATTAACACCTAATTTTTCTGTTAGATGCCAAGTATAACCATTTTTGACCTTAAAAAATCCTAGTTCTAGTGGCAGTTCCCCTCTTCTGACTTCCTTTATCCTATATCTTTGCCTAATTATATATCCTAATTATATAATATATATCCTATATATATCCTAATTATATAATATATATATAATTTCTTATATTACAAGAAACTGTAAGGTTGTTTGAGTAGGGCTTTAGAGATGAGATTTTGCTCCAACTACACTAATAAAAGGTAGAAAATACAATGGAATTTTTTTTTTGTACATCAAGTTATTTCAGTGTTGTAAACAGTATCTGGCACTGTTACTTGTACTGGAACTGGATGAAATAAAGCTGCTCTTTATAAAATGGAATCTCAATAAGTGAACTTGAGAACTAACTTGAGAACAGAGGTGTTTTCAAGAATTTTACTCTGTGTTTTTGAATATATTGATAAAATATCTGTAGCTTCCAGTAGGACATGGTGTTATGCTTGTCTGATGTTTATTCTTGCATCTTCTCGCAATGTATAGAAAAGTGTGTTCACAAACTTTTTTTTTTAATTTTCAGCTTTGTACGCTGTGTGGGGATATTGGTGAGAGAAAGTGAAGTTGTGAAGTTAGCTTGGAGATAATTAAAGCAGAAAACAATGAGGTTATTGATTGCCCTTCTCTCTTGAAGGGAGTGACGCAGTCCTGAACTCTTCACAGGTCACTTTCTCTTTTCAAGAGCTCTGTTGTGGAAATGTTCTGATGCATCCAAGGTTTATGACATGAAACAGCTTGAAAGTGAATCCTAGGTTGAAAATTATGTAGGAAATCATGGTGAAGAGGACGCAATAGTACTCTAGTATGTGTCCTCTAAGGACTCTTTGGTAGTTCTAATACTACAGTTTCTCTAGTACTAGATTTAGTAGTAGCCAGAGGATGAAGTTAACATTCTGCTTCTGTGTGGGTTATATAATTGTGGTTATTTTTTTATGATGGGAAGATCAGAAGATGCCTTAAAAACAAGGCGTGATATTCTCTGGCCTTGCTAGTTGTTGGGTGTTCTGTGGCAGCACTTTGGTAATTAAATGTGGTTGCAGTGCAGTGGTTAGCAGAGCTAACCAAATTTATATTAATATTTACTACTAGAGCTTACTATTAGCAGGAAACTCAGAGTGGTTTATAAATACTAAAGTAAATGACATGGTAATGGCATGCTGCCACCAAAGAAGCTGGCTTGTGGCTGCAGACAAATGAGAGCTTTCCAACAAGTGTTTTGGTTTTATAACTTCTTACATTTACTTTTTCATGTGTTCTGATATGTAGGTATCCAAAAGGTATCCATGTTGAAACTCTGGAGTCAGATAAGGTAACTAGGCAAGTTACTGCCTGTAACATTTTTCCTGTTGAAAGGAAATTGTACTTCTCAATTTTACTAACATTCCAGATCTCTAGGTCTGACCAAAAGTCCTGATTTCTACATCCAACTTGAGCTTTGTTATGCAAAATGTGGAACATCTTAAATAAAATATGATTAACTAGTTTCTAGTCTTTAAATATGAATTATATATGAATTATATTAAGCCACACAAGTATATGTTTATTACTTAAAAATTTAAAGAGGGACACCAAAGGGTACTTTAAAATGCAGTGTTTGTGATATTTAGTGTTGGTGAAGAGTATGTATATGGGTGAAAAGTGACTCTTGATCTTATGAGAACAATAGTGTCATTGCATACTGAATCCTCCCTTCACAGCTCAAATCTCTGTTTCAAAAATATTTGAAAACTGTTAGCTATAATGAAACACTGATAACCTTTCTAAAAAGTAAAAAGTGAATTTAGTAAAAGTTAGATTTAGTGGGTATATATAATACAGCTTTCTAAATTAGACTTTTGAGTGTGGATGATAAGGTGGTGCTTAAAGTGGAAACAGTCATGTTGCCAAGCTACTGCTGCTGAGATATGACTTAATTTTCTTTACAATTTAATTTACAAAAACTTGCAATGGTTGTAACTATGAACTTCTTAGACTCATTCCTCAAATTATACTTTTCTGATTTTAGAAAGAGAGATATATTGTTATTAGCAAGGTAGATGATGAAGAACGAAAAAGAAGAGAACAGCAGAAACAAGCAAAGGAACAGGTAAATATTTGCATTAAGTTCCATTTCTTTAGTTTGAATGAAAGAGAGGGGGAGAATCTATGAGTTCAATCAGCTCTGTAAAATTGCATGTGATAGGGTTTGGTAATATTTCCCTTTTGCTTGGCTGTAGCTGTTGAAAATGATTCTCCAAATTCTACTCAGATATATTTTGCTTTGCAGTATAGCAAAAAGAATTGCAAGATACTCTACAAAGTTTTAAAGAGTAAGTAATTGTAGAATACTTAACCTATATTGTGGAGCACTGGATTCCTCCTTATGTGAATCTGCTCTGTCAGAAAAGCAAGGTCTAGACATAGGAAACATAGATGAATTGCATTTGTTAGTGCTCTACAACAACAGTCCTTACAAAAAGTCTTGCAAAAATTCTGGAGCAAGTGTTCGTGTTATTTTGATTTGCAATCTGACCTTGATGTAGTACACTGTTAAAAACAAAAACAAAAACAAAAAAAACCTTGCTTGCTTTTAGTTGTACAATTAATGTAATCTGATTTTTCTTAATAGAAACATGCTGCACACAACTACTATAGTAACAAGTTGACTGCAAAGTCATATGTGGTATTCAGTCACTCTCAGCTTTATTTATGGGCCTTGATACCAAGTCTGAAGCAAGTTTTTGGGAGTCTTAAGACTGAAATTGTGGCTATGGTTGATCACTTGTCTTGTCATTTGTGCATATCCATTTCAAGATAAAATCAACTTGCATGGCGTGAATAATGTTTGCATGCAGAATCCCTCTTAAGAGGGAAGGAGCTATCTAATAGAGACCTTATCTAAAGTGGCATCTCTTCTTGCTGAAGGAATGTTAGGAACAACTTATTACTGCAGTAGACTTTTCTGAAGCAGCTTTTTTAGGTGTATTAATCAGTCTGACTACTGGCATTAAGAGCTGAACTAAAATAACAGTGAATGCTTTGTTGAATTTCACTTACGGTTGAGCAAAGACAAATAATGCAAGGCAGAAATTACTTGAAAAAATACTTGAAAAAGAAGAACCTATTGGGGGAAAAGTGCTTTAAGTGAAACTAAGCTGAAGAATGAAGTGAAACCGAAGACGCATAACAGTTTTAGTATCTTCTTGAGCTGTTTACTGTCTAATAACTGGTGAGAACTACTGAAAATACTGTATAGACAACAAATCGGGTATAACTTTACTGGGTCTGGTTTAGATGAAGCTTACTTTCCTCGTAGCAGCATATGTGGTGCTGTGGGAAAGGAGGAAGGAAGGGGGGATGTTTGTGGTTATGGTGTTTGTTTTCCCAAGCAGCCATTAAGCAAGCATACTGAGGCCATGCTTCCCAGGAAGTAACTAGACATCTACTTGCTGATGGGAAGTAGTCAATGAATTCCTCTTTTTGCTTTGCTTGTGTATGGAGATTCTGCTTTTCTTATTAACCTGTTGTAATCTTGATTCACTTGTCTTTTACCCTTCCTTCTACTTTTTTTTTAAATTATTATTATTAATATTAATTTCTCCCCAGTCCCTGGGAGAGGCGAGTGAGCAAAAGGTAGCATGGGTACTTGGCTGCTGGCTAGAGTCAACCTACAGCAGTAGCTTGCAACTTGTCCAACCTTGCAGTGAACCAGAGCTTTATTATAACTGGAATTCTCACCGGCATCTGGCTTTGGCCTCATGTATTTTCCAAACATTGACATTTCCGTTGTGGTCTGCTCTTGCTTATATATGAGAAAACATTTGAGCCAAACAGGGATTAAAATTTTCAGTGTGCCTGTTTACAGGTACTATTTTGACAGTATTTGTATTTATATTTCACTAATGCCAGAATCTTTGCTTATAGGAAGAACTGAATGATGCGGTAGGATTTTCCAGAGTTGTTCATGCTATTGCAAATTCTGTGAGTAATGCGATTTTTAATGTACCTTTAGAAAAATAATTCCAACAAAGGCTTATTTTGTTGTTATATTTTGCAAGATAAGGTGGAATGCATGTTAAGGTTGTTTCTCTTTTTAGTATTTTCTTTTTTTCTAGTTGACAGTGTTACATGGCTTACAATAGGTTAGTATGTTAGATTAAGTAAGCTCATAAACTGATTGACATGTATGACCTCATTACCTGTAAGAGTCAATGGCAGTTTTTTTTGTTTGTTTGTTTGTTTGTTTTTTTTTAAACAAGATTCTCTTAGGTAACTAAGCTTTCAGGTTTTTCCTATGTTCCAAAAAGATTGTTTATTTTTCCCACAGTTAAATGCTTAATCAGAAAAGGTCATCTGTGTCTTTTCTACTTACATAGTTTAAGTAGGCTATAGTTTGACATGTGTACCTTTCAGCCTGATTTATTTTCAAGTAGTTGAGACAGCCTGCTTTTGAGGTAACAGATGTGTGTGCGTATTGTTTTCTTTAGCTAAGGAAGAATGCATGGAAGTAGAAAAAGTTGTCATGTCAAATGAAGCAGAGTTAACATTAAAAAAAAATTTTGCACTTTTTCAAGAAGGAACTTGTAAAGCATCTGGCATGAATGTTTCCGCACTGTGAGAAGCCGTGTCACACCCTTAATAACTGTCATATATTAACTACAACCATAAAGAATATATTGTGATTTGTTGTACAAGCTGTAAATTAAAAGTTAGCAGACTGACATATTACTTTAATCTTTAATACATTAAAGTTGTGAGAAGCTTTCTTAGTGTTATTTTCTACCTCTCATCATTTCAAGCTGCTGCCGAAGGCTGTGATAAGTGGTTGGGAGTAGAGGAAAGAGAGGAGTAGCAGCCCACAGAGAATGGAGGAGTCTGTGGGGCAGGTGGAGAGCAAGTTGTGAGGTTTGATTTCTGTTTCTTCCCAGCTGCTCTCAGTTAGCATCTGTGACAGGTGCTTTTCACATACTGTCCTTGCTTTGTCCATGGCTGGAAGTGTGACTAACATTTAACTTACTTTTCACAGGGCAAGCTTGTTATTGGGCACAACATGCTGCTTGATGTTATGCATACTATACACCAGTTCTATTGTCCTCTTCCTGATGTAAGTGATCTTCTCAGTGTTCAGATGATGACATAAATGCATTAATACATGTGTTTAATCTGAGAACAATAGAGTTTTTTAAAGTATTTTTAAAATAACACTTGTGGCTTCAGGGCTACTGCCTTATTTTCTTAATTCTTCATGTAGAAAGTTTAGCTGGATTCTTTACTTTTTTTAAAATGTTTGGGTTAAATGTTGAAAGTGAATTGTGCCTTCTGCACATGTCTGTTAGGCCTTCAAAATCTACTTGCATAAGGGCAGATAAATGTAACATAAATTTGTTAGGAGACCGGCCTGGAACTTGTATATTATGTTATTTTTTCTGCTTGTAGTTATAAAGTTGGAAAATGTCTTTAAAATATAGTAAAATTAATAGAATGATAGGGAATCTCATAACAGAAATTTATGATGATATCCATTAGGTTAAAGAGCTGGAATGCTTGAATAATTGGAGGGAGCATGCATTCGTGACTGCCCCAGGGCAGTTTGACAATTCATGGGTGCAGTAGTCTTACAATTAAGTCAGGCTAAGTAATGCGTTGGCACTGAGGATGGTGTCAGAGGAAGCCAAATGTTTCATTGGAGGGATGGGCTACATGGTAGTTTTATTACTTGTGATCTTCAAGGGCTTGTAGATGTTATGGGAAAGACTTGATTGGTGGGTGAAAGCAGTCTGGGACATGTTCACATGGTGTTGAACAGAAGCAGTCATCAGTTATGCCTGCACTTTTGAATCTTGGGAGAACAAAACTCATAGGAGAAGTCATCAGTCCACCTGGAGTGATGGCTTATCTTCCAGGGACACGTTTAACACCGGGAACATCCTTTCAGGCATTTAAGTAAAACTGTTGTTGCAGGTGGAATTAGAGGTAGCCTAGGATATATGATAGGATAGGGTATTGGAGGTGATAGAATGCTTCTTCCTTGAATCATGAACAAACCAGAAATAATTAGTCTGTAGTCCTGTGTAATTGGAGGTGGTATTTATAGCGATGCTGACAAATGCGTCTTATGAAACGTGAATTTAGTCACTGTATCTCAATTTTAGAAGCCAATTGGATAATTGTCTATTGTTAACTATCATCCTGGGACTGATAAACAGTTAATATATTTGGATTTTACTTTCTTGTTACTGTTAATTTAGGACCTAAGTGAGTTCAAAGAAGTAACATCATGTGTCTTTCCCCGGTAAGATCTTAGTTCAAACTTGTAACTTCGATATTGTTTTATCAAGCTGATGCTGTTTGTTGTAGCACTGTGACTAGAAGTAAAATTTTGAACAAGTTAAATACAGTTTTAAGTGTTTCACAACATCTCTTTCACAAGAGTAGTGGTAGTCTATTTATTGGCAAAAGATGTTTTTGGGTACCCCCTCGTTTTCGGCACGATGATTGGCATTTTGAGTCTGCACTACATTTGGAACAAGATTTGCTACTGATTGCATCTCTTTCTACTTAGTTAATGGACAAAGACAAGTAATGTTTTGACTGCTCCAGGACCAGAGAGTAATGTTACAGTAGGGTGAAACTGCTGATTCCCAGCTAATTAGCCAAAACATTTTTGAGGATTTGGTGAAAATGACATTATTGTGTTTCAATATACTTAACTCTTACTTTGTTTCTAGGCTATTGGATACAAAACTGATGGCAAGTACACAACCTTTTAAGGTAAATTAATGTAGTATTATAGAATGATTTGAAGATACAAATTTGCATTATGTATATTGAAAGAAATATTTTCTTTGAGATATATGTCTAACGGTTTTTTTCTGCAATGCTCCTTTTTGTGTTTAAAAACAAATAAATAAAAAAAATCCTTGACCCCTGATTGAAACTTCTGAAAATTTTGGAATACGGGCTTTTACATTTGTACAAGTGATATGTATTTGTTGCAGTTTTAACATAACAGCAGCTCTGAATTCCAAAATGTACAGCTTTGGCTAATTAAAAATGTGATTAGATATGTATTTGTATTGTAAATTAGCACAAAACTGCATACTTACTCAGGGTAGGGGAAGTGTTACTCAGGAACAGATTAGACACAAAAGCTGCTTGTAAATGCAAAGCTTCAAAATACTGTGAATCTGACTCGGATTTGTCTAGAAAATGGCCCTGGAACATCATTAGGTTCTACTACGTCCTGTGGGTAGTCAGCAGGAGAAAAAAAATTACAGGTTTCTCTTAAAACTTTTTTCAGTATGAGTTTTATTTTTCCAGGGAAGATGTATTGACATAGACGAGCATATTCTTGTGTTCTCCTGTATAGCTATTGAATTAAATATTAAAAAAAAAAAAAAAAAAAGTGATGATGGAGCAGCATCTCTTTCTGCATACTTTTCTTACGTAAGAATATTGCATAACAGAAAATCTCATTAAGATCTACTTAGATATTTTCAAGTTTGTCTTGAATACTACTGTAGTAATAATAAGGCTTTTGTATTCTGAAAAGTAATAATCCAGCACAAGTTTTATGTTTAGTACAGTTATGTTGATATTTTTAGTTTTTACAGTAGATGCTCAGGTTTTAGGCAACTGTTGCCAAATGGCACTTTGGGATGTTAATGCAATGCGTGAGTTGAGTTTGCTACGGAATTCTTCATACCTTTTCAGACCAGAGACTTGATTGTAACTGTAAACAGCTGTCTTGATTTAGAACCAAAGCAAAACTTGGTCCTCAAATTTCAGCCAATTCTGCTTAAGAAATATTTTGTGTGATATTTTTGGTTTTCTGTTGCTGTTGATTCTGCATGGTTTATCCATTGTACTGGTTGACAAAGAATATTTGATTATTCAATAATGTGAATTAAGTTTGGTTTACATAAACTTAATAATCTGGATATTTTTTAATGACATTGTATGTGCATAAATTATATTCAGTATTGCATCTTGGCTGAGCAGAAGTAGGATTTGATGAAATGAGCTTTCTGATTGTAAAACTTCTTTCCCTGTCTTTGAACTACTTAAAAATGAGCAGTATTTACACATACAAATGTTCAAGAATTTCCAGTTGGCAAGCACACCTCGATACTCACCTTGAATGCATTCAAACATTATGATTGATATTTAGGGTATTTTACCTTGTTCTTTGTGCTGCCTTCCCTTACCACGCATGCCCTGCATGGTGACAGATTCAAACAGAAACAGTATTTTGGCATAATTTGACCTCAAGAATTCTGAAGAGCATTAATAAATGCTTGTAACTCAGAGAGAGTATGTTGTAGGCTAGGCAAGTTAACTTTTTAAAACTTGTCTTGGCAGACTTCTCTGGTGTTTTAATTTGAAATGAGGCTGTGTATAAATCCTTAGAGGACACAAGGTGGCAGCAGTAAATACTAATTTTATCCTACTTGATTTCAGTTTTCGGAGAAAATGTGCTTGGCACTGGAAGTTAATGCTGTCCTTTCTTGCAGGAGATCATTAATAATACGTCCCTTGCAGAACTGGAAAAACGTTTAAAAGAAGTTCCATTCAGTCCTCCTAAAGTTGGTAAGGATATATCAAAACAGTCTTCTTTTGGAGATATTTTCCTCTAGCAGAGGAAAGAGAATGTCTTCATTATTTTCATTGTTGTCCTGAAATGTGGGTTTCCCTACTAATATTTAGTATTTTGTTGAAAAGGACCTTAAAAAATAAATGAAGTTACTTTTAGAACTAGTAGTGGAAGTCGGTAGGAATCCTTGCACTTTATTTCAGATAATAGAAGAATGGGAGTATTTCAGTGAACAGCAGCAGTTCTGTCATCTTCTAATGATGGCATTTGTTCTTTAGCTTGATTTTTGGTGAGTAACTTGAAAGTCTTTCAAGCTGTTTAATTTGTTTGTTATAGTCCTTCAGATTGAAGCCAGAGTACCCTGATAGGCACTTGAACAAAGAAAGCCAAGAAAATTTGCAAGTAGCAACTATTTTTGTGTGTTCTAGAAATTAGCTAAGTTCCTTTAGAGCTTTCTTTTCTTTGAGGTGAAAGAAAGGAGATGTTGTCAAAGGACAAGTTTATCTCAAGGTTCTGGAATTTCTCTTGAGCTGCTGGTTTAGAAAGAGGGCAATACAGAACAGTAGAGTTTGTTGGGAGGGAAAGTCTATGCTTAATCAAAATCAAGATGAATGATACTCTTCATATTGCTGAATGTGCACAGCAGATGCAGTTAAGCTGTAGTAACAGGAGAGAGAATAAGATGTATGACCAATTTTTACTTTTACAATCTTGGACAAAGACCACAAGTCCCTTATGCCTAGACCGAAGAAGTACATGTACCATGCACATGGAGCGTACAGTAATTGCATGCAGACCTTCTAGTGTTGCGTCCCCTGTAGCTTCTCCTGAGGATGTAACATAATTTGGCAGCTGTCAAGTATTCTTTTTTTGCTCATGTTATGTAGAGTTATTATTTTACCTTTTTTTTTTTTTTTTGAAATTTCTTATCTTGAGCGAAATATGTTCCTATAGGTTAACCCAGTTACAAGGGCTCATCTGAAAAATGCCTGGTGTTTTGTTGCTCATTTATCAAATTTGGATTCCAGTTTCTTTTTAAAAAATATGACAAGTATATCTACTTATTTACATTATATAAGTTATGATAGTATTTCTGTATTACTGTTTTAAGTCCTACATGTATGTATGTTTCACTCTTGTTTTAGCTTTTCATGCTATGATAGAATATAATAAATTAGATGAAATCACAGAGTTTACTCGTCAGTCTGTACCTTAATGTAGAGGTCACAATTCAGGCTTTTTAAACAGTTAACTGCATTCTTCCGGTCCTATCCTCAGTATAACTTCTAGAGGAAAAGGAAACATCTTTCTAGAGGCTGATAAGCTAGCTACCAAGGTAAAATGACTTTTATGTTGGGAGAGGGAAAATTTTAACTAAAGAAGTGATATGCACACGCATCTCTAGTAGTGAGACTTAGGCACTCTTGGATGCTTCTCTTCAGACAGGTGCATATTGAGGTTTCGGCCTTCAGGGATGATTCAAGGAATACTTTTCAAGACCACAGAAACACCATACATGTTCATCTATAAGATAACCTTTAGTCACTTAGTTGCATCTTAATCATTTAGATAGTTTAAAAAATCTGGCCATAGTTCAACTGGATAGCTAGCAAAGGGGTTAGTGTTAGTTTTCAATCAGCCTGAGTGACTGTTCTCTTAAATACAAAACAATCATGAGAAAATGAGGTGCAAGGGGAAATCTGTCACTGTATTTGTATTAATATTCTGTTGTAGCTAAGTAGGCCTGTGAAAGAGGAGATTAATAGCTTTTTAATAGGAAGAGGTTTTTATCCCAGGAACCTATTCTTAAAAAAAAAAAAAAAAAAAAAAAAAAAAAAGAGCTGTGCTTGGTTCAGAGTTTCTGAAAATCATAAAACTTAGTACAAATGATACTGTCTGACATTATAAATATGGGGGGTAAACATACACAGCTACATTTAACTCATGTGACATTTGTTCACAAAGTACTTTTTCTTCTCAGAAAGTGCAGAAGGATTTCCAAGTTATGATACCTCTTCTGAACAGCTTCATGAAGCGGGATATGATGCTTACATTACTGGACTGTGCTTCATCTCCATGGCTAATTTCCTAGGTATCTACCTAATCTTTTTCAAACCTTTTCCTGAGTGGTATCTATAGCTACTCATTACACACTGATTTTCTTCTTTTTTTATCAGGTTCGTTCCTCAGTCCTCCAAAAAATCATGTGTCTGCTAGATCAAAACTCATAGAACCCTTTTTTAACAAGTAAGTAGTTGCTGTATTAAAAAAAGAATGCTAAAATATGGAAATATAACACTAGTCTTAGAATATGTAACTCTGGCATAATGGCTAACTTCATGTTTCTTTACACTTCAGTTTTTTGATTGACTTTCTTCTTCACACTAGTAATGCTGCAAAGAGGCCAGAATTTCTACAGTAAATACCTTTTCTTTGGAAGAGAATGGTTTACTTTCCACTAGCCTGTAAAAGCAAACTTAAAAGAGAATTGAACCTAAGTTGCTTTAATGGTTTTGTCCATGCCATTGTTGAGAATACGATTATAATTTAGAAAATTATTTTTAGAGTAATCTTTGGGATTAGTGGAAGAGAAACTGGTCAAGTGTTCTTTGTTGTAGGACACTCTCTGGGACTGCTGATTTGTTAACACTAAGTATGGTTAAACAATGTGGAAAAAATATCCGAAATAACACAAAGCTATTGTATTATCAGGTAATTGATTTTTTAAAGGCATAGTAAGTACATATAATTAGTAATTTTATTGGATGATGCTTTGTTCAGTATTTTTGAATTAGATGTTCATGCTAGTACTTGCATGAATTACATACAAGACTTGAGAAATCTTAGGAGTCTTTATGGATGGTTTTTCATACAATAACCACTTGATTTGAATGTAAAGGTTGTGATAAAATTGGTCAGTATAATTTCATTTTAAGATAAGACTTGTCACAGAGTTGCGTTCTGTAACACCAACACAGACAAGCGCACGCGTGCCAGCTAGTAGATGCTATTTGCAGAAGTTATTTTTTTAGTCATTAACCAATATGCTTTTTCAGTTCTTCCTAGAGATGGATATCTGTAGCAAGTAAAATCTAAGGCTTCTAAAATTGTCACAACAATAGGTTTAGTTTAAGTTTTTCAAGTAATTTAAATTGGCTGCTTTAAATGTAGCATTCCTCCGACAACGGCATTTCAAGGTTTTTAGAGAAAGCCTACCATAGATTGTAAATTGGTCTGTTTTGGCTTCAGAGTTAACACTGCCTAACTAACAAAATGGAAAGTTCCCAAAAAATTATAGGGAGAAGAACAGCTTTATTTTTTTTTCTTAAGCAAAAGCTGAAAATTACAGTTTACAAAAAGGATATTCATCCATTCTGTCATTATTCAGAGCTTGTAGCTTCTTGTTTCTGAAAGGCTATTTATATTTTTTTGAATCAAGGAAACTTGGAAGACTTGCCATACTTCACTTTCACATGAACTTACTTTAATTTTGCTGTATTCTGACTAACATCTGTCACCTTACCTCAGAGCTTGGAGGTGAGACTATATCACCTTTTCCTTACAATGAGTAGGCCTAGGCTTGCATTTTTCAAAGCTTTTTTTTTTTTTAATATAAATAATAGTAATTAATATTAATAATAGTATTTTTTTTAAATTACTATAATGCAAAATAACAAACCAGAATAAGGTGACTTTTTTTTTTTTTTTTTTTTTTTTTTAAGATAAAAGTACACACCAGAAGCCAGATCTGTTGGATATCTAAATGACCAAGTCATCTGCTCTGTGCAGTATGTCCTTGCAGACCAGATATCTATTTACAGCACTTGGTCTCTTTAGCATCTTTAAGTAGCATTGAGGGCCTATGCAATTTACAGAGTTATCTTAAAGTCCCCAGTAAGTATGTTGCTTATGGGGCTTTCTTGCAGGTGTGCTTGGGGCTACCGGGTAGCTTTCTGCTACTCCTACTTTTCTCTAGTTTGTGGTCTAGCAACATTCCCTAGCTGAGCATCTTATCTTCTTCTTGGGGAGAAAAAAAACTATCTTCCTCCTTCCTCCAGAAGTTCTACCTGATCCCGTGGGCAACAGTCAGAACAAGGAAACCTTTTTCTTTGTGCTGTAGTCATGTTCTTCAAGCAAAATACAAACTGCAACATGCAAACAGTAAGCTAAATTAATAAAAGTTTGTGTGTCACAAAAGCTTTTCCTAAAGAAGGTGAACAGAGTAGTTCTATTATTTAGAAGCAATGTTCTCCATTTGAACTATCAAGATAAAGCTTTGAAAAATGTTCTTTAAACCAGACCACTTTATGATTCTTTGGGTTGCGTATAAAGTCTTAATTTCAACGTATCTGAATTCTTCAAGTTAATATTTAAACGGGTTAGACGTGAAATTTTTAAATGATTGGTGTGACTGATAGGATTTTGGAAATGTTTTCTGTTCAGATAGACTTTTCACTAATGTGAACAGTGGGAGTAAATTGAAAACTGAAAAATTGAGCTTTGATTCTATTTATTTATTTATTTATTACAAACAAATATTCCCTTTATTTATTCCCTTTGTTTATTCCCTTAACAAAGGGAAGGTAATAACTTTTTTTTGTTTGTTTGTTAGCTTGACCTCTTTAATTATGTCACTACAATAATAGAACTTCTTGGCTCGCTGTTCAAGAGTGATGTCCAGCAGCATATAGGTTAATTTTCATGTGGGTTAATGATGAACGTAGGTAAAATCTTTAGTTTCAGCTTCTTGTAAGAGCAGAACTAATTAAAACCAAACTTTCCTTTAGGGTTGTTGTGTTCTTTGTAGATATAATGGAGTAAGCTATATGGTAAACAACTTGTAATCCAAGAATTCCAGAAAGACATGCATTTCTATAATCTTTATGCTTCATTTTATATACGCAGTCTTTGAAAGTCACCTGCTGTAAGTAATCCTTCTAATCTTGATGAATTTAAGAGTTGAAATGATAAGACTTTGTATTTTAATATCTAAGCTATTATTTGTATAGTTCAGGTGTTTCATCATGTGTGGTGGTTCTGTCCTGTTGAGCAGCTAAATTTCCACCACAACCATTCTCTTGTTCACCCTCCTCTAAAGAAGAGGAGGGGAGAAGAAAGTTTGGTGGAAAGAAAAAGGCTCATGGGTTGAGATAGGGATAATGTAATTAAAGTGAAAATAAAAAGGGGAGGGGGAGAAGGGGGAAAACAAAGGTCATGGGGAAGCAAAGAGAAAGGGAAACCAAACAAACAAACCAATTATTCTCTACTTCCCATCAACAAGCGATGGGAATTAAGAGCTATAATTCAGATCTCTCTAGGTTATTTGTATGTATTCTTTTCCTTTTGATGTAGCTGGAGGTGGAAACAAATGAAAACACCATGTTTTACTGAGCTGGATAGCATGATAATCTATAGAGGTAGAAATTGTCTTAGAAATATATTTTTCATACACAGGGATATCAGTAACCAAAATCTGAAGTATGTGCAAATAGCTTGGTTTTGTGCTGTATTTGTGGGAGTCAGATTCTCCAGCGTGTACTGCAAATCAGTTGATTTCTCTCTGCTTTTATATGAATTTAATTTTCTTCTCAGAAAAACTGCAAAAGAATGTCAATGTGCTCTTCTGCCGCCTGACCGGTAGCTTTTCAAACACAGTGTACAAGTAAACAGTTGATGTGCTTTCAGCCACGTGTGGCAGTGCTAGCAGGACTGGTAAACCCATCTAGGTTTAAAAAAAAAAAAAAAAAGCCTTTATTTAGCTGCATTGGTTTCTCTACAGAGTTCATGAAACAGCTGTGAAAACTTTTATCCTAGCTCAGTGCAGAGGAAAGATGTTGACTACTTGAGACTACTTACACCTTGCTGCGAAATGTCCTGCTTGTAGCCTTTCTCTCCTTCTTTTACTTGAATTGCCGCAGAAGCAATCAGCTTTCAAGTAGCTGACTTAAAACACATCAGAGTTCCTAAGATGTTGTTGTACATTGAGAAATAGATCTCTGACCATGTGATCTGGTTGTAACCTCTAAACAGATTAGGAATTAACTTTTTTCTTAGCTTGATTAATATATTTAAATAATTACAGTAATAATTACAATAATTACAATAATGAAAACCAATGCCATAGCTACAACTTCAAGAACCTAGCTAACTTAATATAGAGTTTGTGTTGTCATACAGAACAACCTTATTACTTTAAATTTTTTGCAGATGAGGAATCTTGCAGCCATAATCATGGATAAATGATTACAGATTATGCTGCAGCTCTGTGCACATGATCCATATGATATAAATTAGTGCTACAAGATGTCATTGCTGCTGTAACATACTTGAAATGCACTTAAAATCAGTGTTTAGACCACTTCTTCAGGGAGTGTGTGTGTATGTGTTTGTACGTGTGTAAATGCCGTTTAGAGAAGTTCTTTGACTAAATAGATAAATGTAGGACTGATGCAGGGAATGAAAAACTGATCTTAGTCTCTAGCATACGCATCTTTGGCATAAATCTGTTTTTGCTGTTTGTTGGGCCTTGTATTGCTTTCCTAAACATCATAAAACCTGGGTGAGGGTAGCTTACCAAGAATTTTTGCTAGAAGTTTTTGTTGAATTTTAGTAAAATTCACCCAGTTGTCAAGTTGTCCCACACTGCCTCTTCGTATTCCCCCTTCCTTTAATTTATTCTTGTAAGGTGTACCTTTATGGCTTGGAGATAACCATGATATGAGCAAAGTCTCCTGTCCATTTTTTGTCTGGGTGGGTGGCTTTTTGTTTGGGAGCAATAGCACTGTGTGTCCTGTCAATATTACTCTGGATCTTTAGGAGTTGTCAAGGAGATATCAGAGTAATGGCTTTTTTTGGTTCCTTATGGAATCTGTTCTGAAGCTTGCCTGGTTCTCAAGATGTCATTCCTGTCCCCTTTAGACAAGTGGCTGTAATGAAGCCAAAGTTGTACAAGTAGGGCTAAGGCTAAACCTACGAAGAAACTCTGACTCCTTTGTAAACTGTGTCAATCACTCAGTGGAATGTTAGCATTGCTAAAATTTCTAAAGTTAATTGATCTGAATGTTTCTAATGTCTATTGATGTTAAATAGTGCTTTGGGATTCCTCAGTGCTCAGGGGCACAATACACATTATGTCATATTTGCCCTGAGGCTTAGGAAGAGAAATTAGATAGGACAGTGTGCACCATAACTGCTGCCAGCTCTCTGAAGACCCTCTCGCTCACATCTACACCGATCACAAAATGTTTCCCCCCAGTATTTTTTGCCTAAGTATTTATAGTAAAGACAAGTTACAAACTGCATTCCTGGAGACTTCAGTGATACAAGTAACTGTAAGAACATTGTTCAAAATCATAAACACTAATAGTGAATATAGTAAGATACAAAGACTCAAGGGAATTACAGATCAGTCTACATGCTTAATACGTTGTTATTATTATCTATTTACATGAGATTTTTATTTACTTTACTAATGTAATTAATCTGGTAAACATTTTTAAAGCTTTTCGAAGCCATGATAGAAAACATTTATTTTAGCTTCCCAATGAATGTAAAGCATTGCAAATATTTTGTAACAGTACTGTAGCATCTATGCCTATAACAGGATTTAAGACTACTTTTAATTCCTGTTTTGGAGGAAAATATTGTATGAACTGAATATGAGCTTATATGGAAAGCATTTCATAAGTGTTGTTTGAAACCATTTAATTACATGTTAAAGGGCAAAAAGAGTAACCTGGTTGAGCTCCACTAAAGAGTCATGTTGGGTTTTGCAGTTTTAGGGTTTTGAGATCAATTCTGTCTAAAGCATGATGCAATGCTCAGAACACAGGAAAGAATACATGTGTCTGTAATGAGAGCTTTCACCCTGTCTGCCATGAACCTGGAATTTACTGCACAGAGCTACTTCTCTCATTTGTTCATTTCCTCATTATTTTAATAGCTTTCAGCAGTAACAGTCAATGGGCTTGCAGCTTTTTAGACTTCTTTTTTGAATAAGTAAAATTACTGTCAAGATGTCAAATAATTTCTTGAATGTGGATTGTTAAATAGTGGATTAGACTTATTTGTAGGGTCTCTTTGTCTTATTATAGCTTAAGCTATGTTTAGGATCTTAAAGCCCACTTGTAGCTACCTTGAAGAAGCAACATTGAAATAAATGATAGAAAGGACAGCTTATTAAAAGGTCTTTAGGCATAAATTTGCTAATGGTGCTTCTCTGTTTTGCTTCAGGCTATTTCTTATGAGAGTAATGGACATTCCATATCTGAATTTGGAAGGACCAGACTGTAAGTAGCTTATTTCATTGTGAACTGTGGATGAATGTTACCACTGATGCTGTGACTCAAAAAAAAAAAAAAAAAGAAAAAAAAAAAAAGAAAAGCCCTGCAGGCCAATCAAGTCCTTTACTAGATGAAGGCTTAACTTACTATCTACTTCTGTAATATGTCTTAGAGGTACATGAATGTCTTCAATAGTGCTTATAGTGCTTCCAGATGAGTAGCATTTCTATGGGAAGACATTTGCCACATCATGCATTGAAAAGCTTAGAATGAAGGATGACCCTTTGTTAAATACTAGCTTAATATTATTAAAAAAAAACCAAAAAACAAAACAAAAAAAAACCAAAAAAAACAATTCTAGAAAGATAGAAGTAAACGCTGGAGAGGAAAATGCCTGCTGTAAAGGCATGTATGTAACTTTCAAATGCAGTAGGTGTTTAGATCACTGATCAGTGGCTCTGCAGATCTATTGGAATGGTTAATTATGTTACACACTTCTTTCCTCAGTTGTTCAACACTGAGTGGAAGGATAGTGTAGTGTACTTTGGGTTACTGAGAGAAGACCAAGCTGCTAAGCTGTGAAGATTTTACTGCCACTTGCTAGTCAAATTGCAGGATTGTTTTGATGCTTTGCCAAGAAGAGTTGCCAAAGAGTCTGTCTCTGAAAGTCTGTCTCTTTTATCTGAAAGCATCTGCATCAATCTGTTAGGGCTTGCTTCAGCAAAGTCTGAACCAGGGATACTTTCTAAGCTTCAAAGAGGAAAGTATATGTAAGGTGGCACTTTGACTACTTTAGAAAGTTTATTTCCACTCTGAGATTTCAACACTACTGTAGGTTGGGGAAGCTAGCAGGTCATTTGTTGCTTGTAGGTTGTGTTTTTGTGGAGAAGTAAAGCCACACAAAGAATAAGGCTACACTTCTGAGGTAGGTATACTTAGTTTTGTTTGTTTGTTTGTTTAAAAAAGTGCAGTAAACTAGGTGACTGTTACAAATATTGTTCATTTATTCTGTAGTATTATAGCCAGTTTGTGCAGTTTTTTCCAGAAAGATTGGAGTTCAGTAACACATGCTAGGTCAAGTGGTACTGAATATATGAAAGTGACTTTCATGATCTTATTTTGTTACTGTGCTTTAAAAACTTCCTTAAAAAGATTGAAGTTTCCACCAAATAAAGTAGAATGTGATTCAAATACTTCTCGCTTTGGTAGTTAGAAGGGATGGAGCTTTAAACAAAGGATTTAAAGTGAATTTTAAGAGTAAGATAATACTGGAGGCTTATGAGGAGTTTCTTGTCTCATTTAAAAAAAAAAAAAAAAAAAAAAAAAAAAAGCATGTTGTGCCCTTTTTTGTTTTTTGAAGTAGTAGATTAAATCAACAAGACTTCACTTGTGCTCATGAAGTGATTATTTTCTTTAGCTGCTTCTGCTTCCATCCAGTCAGATGGTGAGGTGCTCATGAAAACCTGTAATTCGTTGACATGGAATTGCTAGCAAACTCATACTAGCCCGGCTCATTTTCAGTGAAATGGGTTAAAGCACTTACACAACTTGTGAGTTGCTTCTAAATTATATTTCAATTGCCATGATCGAACAGGTGACCACTTCATGTTTTTCTAAGCTGCATGGATTTCACTAACCAACCAATTAGATATGTTGCAACTTACCACAGGGTCATATTCTGGTCTTCTGTATTTTGGCACCTCAAAAATCGGGCTCTTTACTTGGTTTTGCTCCACATTGGTAGTCTACTCAACACAAAAGTTATGAAACCTATTTTCCACTGACTTCATTAAGCATTCAGTATTTTAGTCATGAGATGCTGAGTTAGGACTGTAATTTTTCCTGTTTCTGTGTTCATAGTGGAACTTCTGTGAAGATTTCTTTTAGTATTTTAACATTGTCATTGAGTTATTCTGCAATTATTTCCATAGAAAATAGATGCACTTAGAAATTGGTATTGTTGTCATGCCTTGTTTGTTTTAGGAACTTTTGTTTTACAGGCCTCCAAGTAGCTGTTGTGTCCTACTGACTTTACACAAGGAGTTCAAAAATTATTTGGGAATTAAAAATTACATGGGCATTTTGGAAGTGAGTGGGAAGGCTTAAAATTAAAGCCTATTAAAATCTGTGCCATCTATTCAGGAAACACTAACTATTGAAAGCTATGGTTCTCAATTTCATGCAAAAGTGAAAACCTTGGTTGGTGGAATAGAGTTACATCCAGAAACATACATCTGTTTTGCTATAATGCACATACCAGGCTGAGCAAACTTTGTTTATAGCCACCAGCCAAAATTAAACTTCAGTAATTACTAATGCTTAGTTATTCGTGGTGTGAGCAGTCCACAAGTCTTTTGTTCAGTAACAGTGCAAAGTTGCATCTTAACCAAATGTGGCAATAAAACCGAGCAGGTTTGACCTTGCATAATTGGGTTAAGTACATGTGAAACCTGAATATAGCAATAATAAGTGGTTGGTGGAGTGATTTTCTACCAACGGAAAATCATGGGCGGTCACCAGTGGGGTCCCTCAAGGCTCCATTTTAGGGCCGGTACTTTTCAATATTTTTATAAACGATCTGGATGTAGGAATAGAAGGTATTTTGAGCAAGTTTGCTGATGACACCAAACTTGGAGGAGTTGTGGACTCGAATGAGGGTGGAAAGGCCTTGCAGAGGGATCTGGATAGGTTGGAGAGCTGGGCCATCACCAACCGCATGAAGTTCAATAAGAGCAAGCGCCGGGTCCTGCACCTGGGACAGGGAAACCCTGGCTGCACGTACAGACTGGGCGATGAGACGCTGGAGAGCAGCCTAGAAGAGAGGGATCTGGGGGTCGTGGTAGACAGCAAGTTGAATATGAGCCAGCAGTGTGCCCTGGCAGCCAGGAGGGCCAACCGTGTCCTGGGGTGCATCAAGCACGGCATCGCTAGTAGGTCAAGGGAGGTGATTGTCCCGCTCTACTCTGCGCTGGTGCGGCCTCACCTCGAGTACTGTGTGCAGTTCTGGGCACCACAGTATAAAAAGGACATGAAACTGTTGGAGAGTGTCCAGAGGAGGGCTACGAAGATGGTGAAAGGCCTGGAGGGGAAGACGTACGAGGAACGGCTGAGGGCACTGGGCCTGTTCAGCCTGGAGAAGAGGAGGCTGAGGGGAGACCTCATCGCAGTCTACAACTTCCTCGTAAGGGGGTATCGAGAGGCAGGAGACCTTTTCTCCATTAACACCAGTGACAGAACCCGCGGGAACAGGGTTAAGCTGAGACAGGGGAAATTTAGGCTTGACATCAGGAGGGGGTTCTTCACAGAGAGGGTGGTTGCACACTGGAACAGGCTCCCCAGGGAAGTGGTCACTGCACCGAGCCTGACTGAATTTAAGAAGAGATTGGACTGTGCACTTAGTCACATGGTCTGAACTTTTGGGTAGACCTGTGCGGTGTCAAGAGTTGGACTTGATGATCCTTAAGGGTCCCTTCCAACTCAGGATATTCTATGATTCTATGATTTTTGGACGTATGCACTATGAGTAAGGTCCACTGTGAAAAACTATCCTATTTTAATGCTGAGAACAAAAGACATCAGAAACTAGAGAAGTTCATATCAAACAATTCAGGAGTGAAATTCACTGTGGTGAGTCACTCGCATATCTGTATACCAAAGAGGAGAGACTCTTTTCCTGAGAGTTTTTCATTGTGGTTAAGTAGAAATCTTATCATATAATTCTGTCACAGAATCACAGAATTTCTAGGTTGGAAGAGATTTCAAGATCATCGAATCCAACCCGTGACCTAACACTAACAAGTCCTCCAATAAACCATATCACTAAGTTCAACATCTAAACATCTTCTAAAGACCTCCAGGGATGGTGACTCCACCAGTTCCCTGGGCAGCCCATTCCAGTGCCTAACAAACCTCACAGTAAAGTTCTTCCTAATACCCAATCTAAACCTCCCCTTACACAACTTTAGCGCATTCCCCCTCATCCTGTCACCAGGCACGTGGGAGAACAGACCAACCCCCCCCTCACTACAGCCTCCTTTAAGGTACTTACAGAGAGCGATAAGGTTGCCTCTGAGCCTCCTCTTCTCCAGGCTGAACAATCCCAGCTCCCTCAGCTGCTCCTCATAAGACTTGCTCTCCAGGCCCCTCACCAGCTTTGTTGCCCTTCTCTGGACTTGCTCAAGCACCTCGATGTTCTTCTTGTAGCGAGGGGCCCAAAACTGAACACAGTACTCGAGGTGCGGCCTCACCAGAGCCGAGTACAGGGGGGCAATCACTTCCCTAGCCCTGCTGGCCACACTGCTTCTAATACAAGCCAGGATGGTGTTGGCCTTCTTGGCCACCTGAGCACACTGCTGGCTCATACTCAGCCGACTATCAACCAATACTCCCAGGTCCTTCTCTGCCTGGCAGCTTTCCAACCACTCATCTCCCAGCCTGTAGCTCTGCTTGGGGTTATTGCGCCCCAGGTGCAGGACCCGGCACTTGGCCTTGTTGAACTTCATGCAGTTGGCCTCTGCCCATCAGTCCAGCCTATCCAGATCCTCCTGCAGAGCCTTCACGCAGATCGACACACACACCTAACTTGGTGTCGTCTGCGAATTTACTGAGGCTGCACTTGATCGCCTCATCCAGATCATCAGTAAGATATTAAAGAGGACTGGCCCCAGTACCAAACCCTGGGGAATAGTTGTGTGTAGCTATGTCTTGAATTGCCTTTAAGAAATTGGTGCAGTAAATCATGTACCCCAGAGGTTTATTTGGCGCCTCTTTGTTAGAGGTTGGCCTCTCCTGGTGTAGTTTTAATTTAAAGAAGTCTGTTAGTGTGTATAATCTAGCTTGTGCCTACTGTTATGTAAAAAACTACATTGAACATTGTTTCACAATAAGTTTTTTTTATTGACAGAAAAATGGTATAATTGAATTATTGCTAACGATTTGCTTAAACTAGTTATAGCACGAGGAGGATGTTTTTGTTTTTTTTTCTGTCCTAGAACTTGCCACAAAAGATGTGAATTACATGCAGCAGGAACTGCCCACAAAATGCTGCCTCAAGTACTAGCTTATCTGTATATCTACTTCATGCATAATTGCAAACATGTTTTCACTTGTGCTTGATGTGGTTTTATAAGTCTTGTCGTGTTTTCTTTAAAAAATAAAAAATAATAAAAAAAATAAAGCTATGGGACCGTATTAGGTAACTTTCTTTTAGGGTTTTCTAAAGATACCAATGGTAATTCTTATTCTAACAAGTAACTTCTTGTTTTGCAGTACAGCCTAAACGAGATCATGTTCTTCATGTTACTTTTCCCAAAGAGTGGAAGACGAGTGACCTTTACCAGCTTTTTAGTGCCTTTGGTGAGTAATATGATCTATACTTACATCTTTTCTTTTCCTCTTTTGTTAGCAAGTACCTCTGGGTTTATTTTTAATTTGTGGATGCAGATTTATTCCTAGTATAAGCAACGATAAGTGATCTTTAGTGATTTTGAATGGTGTCCTGTGGACTTGTTTTGTAGTGATGTGTTGAAAATGTCTGCCTTGCTGACCTGCTCTTTAGAAATCTTTGTTACTTGGTGCTTATTTCATATTGTGGACCTTTGACCCTGTTTTTCATAGCATCTCCTGGGAGGAGTTAAGGGTTTACTATATAGGTGGCTGAAGGGAATGGGAAAGGTAGATCAAGATCTGAGAAATAAGGTTCATCCCGCAGGGTACTTAAAGCAAAACTGCAACTTACGTGAGTTTAGGCAAGCAAGCTTTAAAATTTGATTTTGATATTGTGAACACCATTCAAGTTGGAGGAAACAACAACAACAAAAGCTATCAATAACTGGGTAGTCCTATTACTCCTCTACTAAGTAATAGTGTGTATAATTTAAGGACATGGAGGTCCTTTGTAACTGGCATTGATCTCTTGATATGTAATTCTTGCAACAGAAAGCACTGGTTGTGCCTTGTGCTGTTAAAACAGAACAGGAGTGATCTTTCATAGGTCTGTAGCCTTATGTTGGTTGTTGTTTCCAAGATTTTTATTGTAGACTAGTTTCTAGTTGCTTACAGATAAGTAAGGTAATACTTCAAAAGACATCTTCTGGTCTTGCAAGTAGAAAAGTGACTAACTGGTTCTGTCTGTATTATGAAATGGACCTTTCCCCTTTTGGAGAAAAGCAAATGAAGAGGTGCCTGTGGCTAGTACTTGATCAGTATATACTGTAGGTGTTTCAAAATGTTTGATTTTCAATGTTTAATGACTTAAGTCAGAGTTTGCAGTTTGGCAAAAAGATACAGGGCAAGCCTGAAACTAACCTCCACTGACAAAATTACTACGCTAACCATAAGGATATTTAATTACAAGTAGAGGGATAGAAGTCCTTCAGAATACTCTGTTGTTACTCTTGGGCTTGCTGTAGATTGCCACTCTGATTTACATAGTAATAGCATTTGTCTCTTCTTCACCTATAATTATGATTCAGTAATCTATGCAGGGTCTCTGAACATATAAAAATTGACTTGGTTCTTTCTGACTTGATCTGCACTGCAGTATGATGCCATTATGATGCAGAATAGAACTTAATATTCCCATTTGGTAAGTCTAGAATATAGAAAGGTGCTGAGATTCTTCAAGAGGTGGACTTACAGGATTAAGAACCTGTACAGTTTGGTATTATTTCTATAGGCTTTTGAAGGCTCAGCTATGTAAATTATTTTAACAATTCCTTCTTTTCAGTGCTGTTATAAAACGCGAGTATGTATCACTACCACCAGGTGTCAGGCTTACACATCTGAAATATTGAACAATTTTGAAATTGTTATTTCTCTAGTTTTTACGGATTCCAGAGCTGTGTGTTATTTCTCTAGTTTTTACGGATTTCAGATCTGGATTTACAAATTCATGGTATTTGGAAAGTGCTTAATTCACATTTTATTTTAGGTTTATTGCCATGCAAACTGCGGGTGATGTCTTCCAAAATTCTAGGAACACCCATGCTTTTTCAGCTGTAGCTGGACAGAGACACAGAGTATGGGGTGATTTCTCCTGTCCCCTTGTTATGCTTTTACCTAGGGAAGGACCGTGGAAGAATAAGGACGGTTAGGTAGGTGCTTTTGAACAAGAGATTAAGAAAAATGTATGGTGTGGTAAAGAAAACTACTTCATAGTTCTCCTGTTAGATAGTAAATGAGGTGCTTTTACGTACTGAAGACAATGCACTCTCAATAACTGAAATGAAATACAGTACAAAAAAGGCAGGGATCTCCTGGAAATCAATGTGAGGTTGACTTGCCAGAAACCAAAAATCATGGCAGCAACAGATATCAATTACCCCAATTACAACAGACATCAATTATCCCAATTTACAATGCCAATTGAATGAACATAGTTTTAAATTAAACTTTTACCTGAATTATAAATCAGTTGTTAAATTACACAGTAACCTTAATCTGATGTTATAGAAAAATCATTTTGAACTTGTTTTAGTCTAGTACAAATTGAAGCAGAGTTGTAATCTTCCTTTAAGTTTCTGATGAAAGCAGTGAGACAGCTGAAGGGACTGCAGTGTCAAGCTTGGTACTATTTTACATTCCCTACTCTAGAATGGGTGCTTATGATTTTGAAGTCTTTCAGTACTGTATGCATACCAAGTTCATATCTGTTCATGCAAGATGTTTTTACAGTCTCATGAGTGAATGTAATTTCACTGTACAAGTACTTTCAGGAGTCAAACCCCTGTATTACACTTTGTGAGAGTATGAGAGTAATCTCTCTCATTGAGAGAGAGGGGAACACTGGTATAGTGTAGTTCATGGAATCATAGTGATTGTAATGCATAAATTGCTTTTAAATGTAACCAGTCCTTTTGTGTGTTTAAACCTTGTGCTGGTAGTCCAAGCTACTACATATGTGAGTTTTAAATGACCTTTTTAAAATGAATCATAGAATCAAAATTGGATTTGTTCCATACACTGTGATACTCGTTCTTGTTTCCCCCTGTACTTTTATCTCCCTGTTTAACTCCTCTTAAAAATAAAATATATATTAAAAAAAAAAAACTTGAAAAATATCCCCTTTAAAGGTAATCAATATAGTGTAACAAAAATTTTTAGCACACAGTATATGCAAAGTATTCTCCTACAGCACGCATTCATATAGACATCTGAGCTTTGTATAGTGTTTTTTTATTATTATTATTTGTATTATTTTTATTTTAATCTTATATTCCTCTATGGATTTCTGGCCTTTCTTCCCCCTCCTCATGCCAACATTTCCTTCAGCTGTTCTTGCTTTCTTTGTACTGTCTTCCAGCCAGAAAGGTAGAAGCTCTGTTAACCCTTCTCAGTTAATGTTTGCGTTTAACATAGTCTTCAAGCCTTCTTCACAGAATAAAAGATTCAGCAGTTTCTTTTGTCTGATGTAGTGAGTGTTAATTTCTTTTAATTTTTTTATTTTTTGTTAAAGAAGATCCATGTAATCTTTAATATCTGTGCTAAGGCTTTAGTTGTAAGTAGCAGCTGATTAGAAATGTGTAAGAATAGTTATACATGATATTAACTGTTCTGTGACAACTTCCTTTCATTTTAAAACTTCATATATTTTATTAAATGTGTCTTAGTTGTTTAGTAACAAAATAGTGAATTCCCCCTGTATGTCCTTCATATGGTTTATGTTCTTGTATCTTCCCCATAAATATGTACGGGCATCTTTCTAAGAATTTCTCTTAAGTCTGAATCCTAGTTTACTTAGTCTCTTATACAGAAGATTTTCCGTACCTTTTATCATTGTGGTACAAAAAAAATGAAGAAAACCCTGTCTGAATGACATAATTTAACAGTATAATTTTATTCTGTAGATTTTAATGTTGTTTGCTTATTTGTATTTATATAGAAAGGTTTAAAATTTATTTGTTTAAAATAATAATAAAACCCAAACACACACATTACTTTCCACCTTCATCTCAGAAGCAACAAATCAGGTTTTAATCTAGCTAGGTGAAGATCTTTTTATTTCAAGTTCTAATACTTTATTTGACATTAACTTTTTTTTAGCAAGGGACTTTTGCCTGTAGTAGTGTAGTAGCAAATAGACAAGGGTCATTTAGCTAGCAGTGGTCATTTCAAAGTATTGAAGGCATTTGACCTGTTATGAAAGTGCAGAAGAAGAAATCTTCTGTTTTAGTTCTCTAGAGGAAATATTTTAGTATTCTAGAAGTATTCTATTACATTGCTGAATGTTGCTTATTTGGATTAGCCTTGCAGTAAGCTGGCATGCAGCTATGTTGATTGTTTAATATTGCACTTCAAGTACAGATGCATTTGCTTTTCAGATCTTTTTTGTCCTTTCACCATACTTTTGAAATACACAATATTTACTGAGTACCTAGCAATACTTCTGGATGGCCTCATTTATCAATCTTGTTTCTTAAATTCCTATTTCTTAACAAAAAAAAAAAAAAGCAACATATCTGAACAGAGTGTTTGCTAAGCATGGAGAATTGTGAAAGACCATTTGTTGCAGTTCTCTTTAGACTGCAGCTCAGTGTTCACTCTTTAATGTTTGACATGCTCGTACGATTATATATTTAAACTGAATAAATGTAAGTATAAAGATAGTAAGTATAAAGATATGTTGGCAGGTATTGAAACCCTTAATTATCTAAAATACCAAAGCCATTTAGAGTGCTGCAGCCTTACAGTAGCAATGAATAAGTGTCCGATCCTGAAATCATGTGTCATCATTAGATTGGATTTTTATTTACTTATTTTTAATTGGTACTTAATGGAAACATGGGCACTGATGTCCATTTGGTATCAGCTAAATTCATTCAAGAGATTTTTGGTCCATTGCTGATCCTCTGTGCTGTTTTATTCTAAGGATAGATACATTTGTAAGTTATGCAGGATAATTTTTCTTTCTGGTCTTTTTTGTTGTCTGCTCAAGATAGATAATGGAATTCATTAATTTCCATATAGGAGAGGGACAGAATCTGGACAGCACTTAGGTCTTGCAGAATTATGGAAGAATATGTCAGCTGTCTCAAAAAAAAAAATTCTTAAATTGTAATTAGAAAAAATTGTAATTTGAAAAATTTGCAAAAAAGGAGGACTCAATATTTAAAGAAATTTGGAGCAGTAAGTTGCCTATGTCCTTAGTGCAACGTTAATTTTTGCAGTAGTTTCTAATATTTAAAGAAAGCTATCAAACACACACTAATTTTGAGCTTCAATTTTAAATCAGCTTCGGCAGTTCCCATGTTGTGAAATGTTAAGTTGCCTAGATCTTGTTCTCCATAGAGTAAAGATCCTTACCCATAGGCAGTGAAGACCTGTGTTTTTCAAGACTGAATTATTAGAAGTTAAATTTGCCTTATGAAGTGTTTAAAGAAATTCTAACATTTGCCTTCTCAGGGAAAGCTGCTCTTACTAGCAGCCTTAGCTCTTTAATATAGGAAAATATCAGAAACCATACTGATTTGAGTATGGTTTTGGCAATGATCAAAATGATCACAACTTAAAGTTCTAAATAGCTGGCTACTCAGATGTATAGCATGCAAACTAAATCTAACTAGGCTTTTATTTTTTTATAATTAGAAAATCTGCTTATTATCTGGCTGGATTTCAGAAGAGACTTCTCTAACCTTGTAACGTGTAATTAAATTAAATTTTAATAGATTAGACATATGAAAATAAAAAGCGTTTTAAGTCAGTTTGCGTCTTTTTTTTAACCTTGTAATGTCTGAAGGTTGAACAGTGATGTAACATTATATAAACTTGATTTCCTTAGTCTCCCTGAAAAAAAGTTCTAGCAATTTTCAGTATCTGAAGTATACAAACAGTAAAGCACTTAGATAAGGACAGGAGGTGTAAAGGGATTTCAGACTACAGTAAGTCCTTGTGTCTGGGATGAGAATCCTTGCTTATGCTTTTGCTTGTTTGTAAGCTCTTTTTGTGCTAATGTGACATTAAAATGGAATCGGAAATGGAATTGCTGCTTGATGAGTGGAGGAATGTTTTTCCAGTCACTGTTCCATGGTAACAGCTTCCAAATGAGGTGCACAGTTTCATGCATTTGTCCTCATATTTACTCAAATTAAGTTTTCATTGCACATCCAGGAAATAGTGTGTAGTATGGCACAAACCAGATTTTGATGATTTAGAGTGTTACAATACCTAGAGTTCTCCGCTTGTGTGAACCATCTTCTACCCCCATGCCCCATTCTTCTACTGGAATCCCTTATCTTGCATGTCTGTATGAGGAAAGTAACTGAGTGATAACTTAGCCATTCCATGCTGTGTCTTCAGGAAATGTTGCAGTTCTGAAGGATGGAGAGGTTTTTAAACCCAAAAAGCTGTTCTTTTTCTCGGTACAGAGCTGATATTTCCTAGCAAAATTGCTTCAAGTTTTTGTTTCAGTATTATACAGGACACGTGGAAGGAGGAATAAAAAAAAAAAACAAAAAAAAAACCACTAAGATTACTTGAATTGCTAAAAGACTGGGGGGTGAAGCTGAAGCTATGAAGAAGCAGAAATCCTATAGGATCAGAAAGGTGTTACGCATCTCTTGCCTTTTTCCTTTTGGCCCTTACTAAGAGGGTTTAATAGTAAACAGAATGAACATGCAGCCCTAATGGCCACTGCTTTCTGAACAGTTCCAGGCTTGTAATTATACACCTTTACCATGGACTCCTGTTGACAAAAAAAAGATATTCTCTGCTGAAAATATGCTTAGTTGACTATTTTGTCTTCCATGGCACAGCATATAATGTTGTGTTGACCAATTTTGAGACCTTCTTTTTTTGTGGTCATAACCTTTTCTTTTGCCTTTTCTAGGTAACATTCAGGTGTCATGGATAGATGACACATCAGCATTTGTATCATTAAGTCAGCCAGAACAAGTACAAATAGGTAAGTGTTTCTGAAATTACTTCAGTACTAAGCCAGGACTTCAGCTATCTCTTGTAAAATCCTCCAGGCTAACAGTGTCTGCGATTCAAATGGCAAAGCCACTGAGCTAGTCCAGATCTTTTAGGAGGAACAAAACTCATAGTGCCTGCATGTGTTGCAGCAAAGACAACAAGCCCAAACTGGATTTAGTTGACAGTTTTCCATGACCCTCCTAGGAGCCGAACCTGTAAGTAGAGTATGGCTACTTTTTTCACTTGATGCAGTGTTGTTTTCTTTTAAAGTTATTTACTGTCACTCTGCACAAAGCAAAACTATCAGGACTTTTATGATCTGTTTTTACCTACAGATATCCGTGGGACTGATGCATGTTTGATTTCTTTCCATTTGCAAGTGAAAGCTGCAGTAGAAAGCCTTTTTGTGTGTTGTAGAGCACATGTAAAATAACTTAAATCTCATAACTCAGTCTGGATGCTAATGTGTCTACAATTTGTGTATTAATAAACAAGCAAAGTCTCCAGATTTTTTTTTAATCTTCATTTGAACTTTTGAGCTGAGCTTAGCTTTGAGACAAATCAATGGAGATAAGATCTACAGGAAATGTAGATCTTACCTTTAACGTTTAACTTTCTTGGAAGTTGTTTTTGTATTTTTTTATATCGCTTCTTGTTTCATTATTCAGTAGATTTATATATTTTGGATTTTAGGAGAGGAGTTAGTTTTAAAGAAAAAACTGCATGACTGTATAAACAATTTCTAAACCTGAGTTCCTAATTCATATAATTACTATAGACAGTAACATGTTACTTAAGTATTGTGCAAGGTAACACTCTTGAGCAAGCATCAAGAATTAGCCAAATATATTTGTAAATGCTTTGGGAATTAGATAATCCCATTTCACATTGTATAGGTCACTGAACATCATACCTCATGTTCAGATTATCCACTTGCTTTGCACAGTAAAGGATAAATTGTTATAGTTACTGTGTTCATTCTGTTTCCATATCCGTGTCTGTTCTGTTTACACTGTCTATAGGAAAGAGTTGGCTTTAACATGCCAGTCAAAAGAAGCATGAGAAGATAGTCTAGGGTGTATCTGGTGCTAGGAAAGCTTTTCAGATGGTGATTCTTGCACCTGAGGAGTGAGAGGAGATAGTAGTAATTGGGTTAAGTACCATTTAATGGCTAATGAGAGCATAAATGTAAATAAAATCAGAGCTGAATGGAACAATGAGCGTGAGGTTGAATAAAATGCCAAGAACTGGAGGATTTAGGAGGACAATTATTTGGTCAGAGCAAAAAGCAAGTTGCTTGATTCTAATTAGTAGCAAACAATGGTTTTAGTAGCAGTGGTTTGTATAGAATGAAATGAGACTGGGGCAAGTATTGCATAGTAGTCATGTTTGCATATAGGGCAAAGAATGGACTACTGTTGTGGTTGAGGAGGGGTAACAGACTCTTGAAAAGATTGGAATTAATGGATTTAGTTGAGCATGTTTATGGTTGTTTTTGTTTTAAGCTTTTAAGAGGTGCAAGCTAATATGGCTGTTTACATGGGTTATGAGGATCCTGTAAATTGTAGTGAGTTACAAACTTTCATAAGGCTGTCTGACATTGCTCAGATGCACATGGTAAAAAAAAAAGAAAAGTGACCAATGTCTCTGAATTTACTGGAAGTATTGCTTCCAGTTATGAAGAAAAGCAGTTTGTTTTTCAGATATTTTTTATTTAGTTGACTGTAGTTGGATCCATGAGCCCTTAGTGGTTTCTGGATTGAGGAACTACCCATAAACTTACTGCTGAGAACAATGACTGGAAATAGACCATTGTACATGATAGTTCTATGAGTGTCATCCCTATTTATTCAAATGCTCATGTCAAATGCTGTGGAGCCAGTAAGAATAGCAGTGTAGATAACACTTTTGATTAAGTGGCTGAAATCTTATCCCACTTTAGAATTATTCTGTGTGAATTCCCACACTTAAGTTCTAAAAAGAAAAAGCAGTGTAGAAAAACCCACTGAGATCACCATTCTGTCTTACAAAGCTAAAATAAAGAAGCTTTCAGGTTTAGGATGCATAAATACTGCGTTATTATCTAATTCTTTAACATTCTCTGAGTATTTATCATACTTCTTCATACATACTTATCTCTGCAGAGAGTTATGAGTACTTACCATCAGCCTCCCTTTAGCAGAAAGAGCATTGTTGACCCAACCTGTATTTAGGCAAATGGACCATATAACTCCTAGTGAGAAGTTACAAATAAAGAATTATGTCAAAATAAAAGTGGTTCCCTTTTAGCTAGCTGTGTAACTTGCTGACACTCCTTGCATGTCATCATCTCCACATTATAGTCAGCGGTGCTACTGGCACGCCATCAAAGGTTCGAGGGAAATGCTGTTCATGCAGTAGTGAGCACGTTGGAAGTTTAGACTTAATCTAAATTATGTTCAGTAGAAGTGTACTCTGGGCTGTGTATTTGCGAATGATGTTTGTGAAGTAGGAACTTATCTGAAATGTCTGCAACTTTTTATTTCAGACTGATTAATCTTACTCAGTTTGGTTTCAATGTGCGAGGTATATGCTGAGAAAGAATTGAATGAAGGGTTGGAATTGTGCCACCTTTTTGCATTTCCAAAAGGATTTGTCTTTGTGATGAATTACAACATTATTTTTTTTTCTGGTTTTAAGTTGATACCTTCATGTACAGGATATCTGTAAATCACAAAAGCAACTTTCTGTCTGTACATTTTCCACCACCTTTTCAAACTGCTTGCTTGTTTCTCTGGGCACGACTTCCAAGGCTATTAGTTTTATATATATACTTGTGTGCATGTACATGTATACACACATAGTGCTACAGTAACTTCCCCACTACTATCAACTGAGTTAATAGCCCATTGTGTGCCAAGCATTCAGACATATTCACGACCATCACAATTTTTTTTTGTTTTCAAGTTCATTTTGTTACAGCAAATAGATATTGTGGAAAGAACTGAATGTCTGCAGAATATATAAACTGAATCTTTCTGGCACCCGTGTCTTTCTTTTTAATGCATTGACAAACTGGGAGGCTTGTTCTGTGGCCTATGTGCTAGGAAACAAGTTATTTATTTGAAAGCTCAGGTGATTATAGTTTTCATAGATTTTTATGAAATCAGGTTAGTAAAATCTTATATACTGAAAGTATTCAGCCAGCCAAGCTGATAAACTACAGCAACTTCAATTACCAAAAAGCTGTGCGATTTTTACTGTAAAATTGCTTAAGTCTCTTGGTTTTTGCTGTAATAAATAAATCATAAAATCAATTCTGTTATTCTATTTCCTGATTTAAAATTCTTTAATGAACAGCTTTGGCAATAAAAGTCACTACTCGTCCTCGTGATTGTGTTTAGGTAAAGAACCTAGGAAAAACTAATGATGTGGCTTGTTTTGAACCTGTTTATATAAATATGTCTGCATCTTCTGGACTATAAAACAAAACAAAACAAAAAAACAACATCAGAGCTGTCAAACAATGTGATACAAAGCAAGACGTTGCTGCAGACATGTTTATGCTTACCTCTTAAGAGTTGCTTCTGGCTTTGAGTTGGTATTAATACATGTAATATGTGCAATAAAAACATTTATGGAAAATAAATGAAATGAGAACATGATGGATGTGTGGAAGTTTCCCCATATTTATAGGGTGGTTAGATTTGGCCTCAGATATGAGTTTAAACACTGTAAAAAAAAAAATTAATAATCAGATTTGTTTTGAATCCTTTTAATGAGGAGAATGTGTGGGAAAAATTATGAAAATCTGATTTGTTCTATAATAGTCTGGATGGAGTGTTAACTGATTGGATGCCTACCAATTTTTTTTAGACGTCATTCAGATTTGGAAAGTATCCTTATTTTTCAGTTGCAGCAGTAATTCAAATACTGAATATTGGACTGAACTAATGTGCAGTTATAAAATTGAACAGCAGATCATTTGAAGGCTGAGTCGCAGGCACCCCTGCATGGGTGTGCTCAGGATAGCCAGTTGATACAGTTGGTTTGTACGTTACAAACTTTCCTCTTCTGCCTTTTTCTTTTTTCATCCTTGTATGTGTTAAAAAAAAAAAAAAAGTTGACATCTGTGATTACTTATACAATGAGTTTGGTATATAAAGGTGGCACTGAAGTTGTGATGGTCTAGTGTCCCAGTTACAGTGTATCTGTGCTGCTGCTGTAGGCTGTGCCAATCAACGTGCCCAGCTGGGCGTGATAGTGCCAGAGCAGGTTCCTTGGGAGCGGACAGCTGGCATGCAGATGGTGAAGGAAATGGAAGGTGTGGTGATGTGAATGGGCAAAGACTAAGAAGGGACAATAAAAGACATGTATTTTAAAAACATCATTAAAACACACAAAAGCAACAAACAAAAAAAAAAAACCCTAGGTGAATGCATGGGTGCAGTCAGACTTTTTTTTCAATGAAATACATGTAAGACACTCCTGAAATTTGATGAGTGGAATAAATGAATGCAAAAAGATCTCAGATGGTTCTACAGGTGTGATTGGGCAAGTTACTGCTTCCATTCGGACACAATTAGTGCCAGGATTTCTTAGTTCTTAAGAGCTATATTCAGTTCCCCAAACTGTGTGCTAGCCTGTATTACCTGTGCAAGTGCTAGTTTTACATAACTAATGTGTGCTGTGCTTTGGAAATTTTAACCTGTTTCTGATTTACTGAGTCATGTTGACCTGTTTGTCTAGCAGTATAGCAGTAAGATGTTGCAAGATTTATGCAGCTGTTCAAAAACTAATCAAAAGAATTGAATAAATATTCAGTATAAATGAATAATAAAGTGACCTCTGCTTGAATTCTCAAGCTGAAACAATTGCTTTGGTATAAAACAGCTTCTGTTAGCTCAATATCCCATTGTTGGAACCATTTAGCTGTGAATGGGTTTCCTAAAAGCATCTGCCTAAATTATTTATTAGCTGGTTTTCTGTAAGTGTTTCTGAGGTTAAAAAAAAAAAATAACGTCTTTGAAATTTTTTGCTTTTCATTTGAGATTAATTTCTACCTGATGAGGAGGGGATTTTTTTATTCAGTTTGTGTTTTACGTTTCAGATAATAAATTATAATTAATTTTGATTCTCATGCTTATCCTTTGCATCAAACAAGTGACAGATCTCCTAAACCATGATGCTTTGTATAGGATTTTGTGTGCTGTTTCTGGTGCTTCTGTCTCTCCTGGCTTTATTTTTTTTATGGACTAAAAACTTGTTCATCTTGCACACTAGGAATATGCTGGAGATCTCATGTTAATACGCATGAAAATCAGTTTTAAATATGTAAGTAATAAAATGTATCTATTCATCCCAGTGGTCTTCAAAACAGCATTCCTGAGTTACATAAATCATGAATGGTAACCATAAAGAGCCAGTAAAAAACCCTTGATAAAACATTGGTCCATTGACTTTTCTTCTTGGAAAGAATAAACCTGTTTTGCTAGATTAAACTAATGATTAAACTGTTTGACACGGC